TTGGAGAACCATGTATCAGTAGGGCAACCAGCATGTCATATACATATTTTTATACTTGTAATGAATTCTGATTGTATGTGTTATGGACTGGTTGATAATTATTTTCATTATTAATGTCATCAACTGCGGGATAATTTGGAACAGTTGGTATTTACTTATATAATTGTATTGTCAACTGATGGATGTTGGATGACATGCACCGATATGGGACGGTGGCATGCCTAGGTTTGGATTAGTTTCAAAATACTAAATCCTACCTACACGGAATAAGGGAATGGATATTAAAATAAATCCTACTTATAATTGAGTCAAAGAAGCTGCATAAGCTGAATGACTATCGGATGACTCGTAAGTTATGTTAAGTCAAAGAAGCTGCATAAGCTGAATGACTAACTGGACTTTTTATGGATAGGACGGACTTTAAATATATGTTATGGTACTGCAATCTGAGTTTGAGTCTCAGAATCGTCGGTTAGGGAGCGTATATGCAATAGGATGCGCAGCTGGATATGAGAAGTTGAGATATACCCTGTTAGGTCTAGGTACTCATGCCCACCTTTGGGTGCGTTTTCGCATGTTGCCTTCTATTCAGGTTGAGACCCCCTCCATAGTCCAGTGAGAGTCCTGTAGTGTGAATATACTTATGTAAGGACTATTAGCTATTGTTGAACTACGTAGGATGTATATGCGTATCGAGTATCTGCTTGGATTGTAGAGGGTTAGGACTTGTTCGTGGGCCTGACCCACTTTTATTTTTCAGGTACTCGTCCGTATCAGACGTAAACCTGATCGTGCTGAGCAGAGACTACTACCCACTCTTCCGACGACGTAGGATTCTCTCCATAGTTTATTTCTGGATGTTTCTTTCAGTTGTTTTATTTCAGTCTGGATTTTTATTAGTGGTCCACCAGAGATGGATTCCCGAGTTGTAAACTTATGGAGTTTGGATTGTCAGAGTTTAAATATTTATATTTGAGGATTTTTAATTTAGTATTCATTCAGCTTATTATTGTTATTTCTTAAATTTATTTTATATTCTGTGTTCGGTTAAATATTAATTGTTTGGTATCCCTCGGATCTGTGCTCGAACTTAATCACCCGTGACTCTAGAATCGAGGAGTATCACAATAAATAAGGATAATAACCTTATTTAGAATAAATTCATGTTAGAAAATATATGTTTCACAAACATTTAAGATATAACTAACTTTAGACTATTAATATGCCATGAGATAATTAATTAAATATGCAGATTAAACCAATAAAATAATAATAATAAATAAATATCCTGGACTGGGCTAGTATTGAATACTTTATCTTTAAGACAATTTATGCCCCACATGGTGCTGACGGACTATATGGCACTTATCTCTCATGATACAACGATCTACATCCACCAGTAGCAACACTACAAACTCGTGGATAAGGCAAATCTCCTCTGTGTAATACTCTCTCTGACTAACAAATGCATTTATACTATATAAATGCTAAATTGGTTGCAATCCGAACCAAATGGTTCGAACCAATCTTAATATGGCTCGATGAAATTGGATTAAGGTCTAAGTGGCTCAGACCACTTGACCTATGGTTTGAACCCACTTAGATTGGGTTCAAGACTAGGGAGGGAGAGAAGAAATCAGATAATTGAATTAATTGCAAATGGCAACCCATGGAGGCATTTATAGAAATAGAAGTGCTGGAATGGGTGTGTCTCTTCATCACTAGACACAACCATTTATATGTATCTCTTCATCACCAGACACACTCACTGCAATATGTTGCAATGGTTCATATTGAATAGGGTATGTCTATTGGTTTTGAGTTGCATCTTTTCATCCAACAGCCAACTAGTGATCACACATGTTCAGTCCAAGGCATCAGTTGATGACTAATGAAACAATTTTCATTCACAAATTCTAACAATTTAGTCACGTACCCCTCTCTGATTTCTTTATATCGTTTTTCTGATTTTGTAATTGCAGACTATTTGTTAGATTATTTTATGTATTTTGTGTTTCGTGATTTTGTAAATTACAAACTATTTTTATATTTGTGATTGGACCACATAAATAGAGATGACCTACTAATGAGTGACTAGGAAAGTCCTGTCAATCTATATATATATAATGACTATTTATGATTGGACCACATCAATAGAGATGACTTACTCACCGGTAAGTAGACAAGTCGATCTTGTCCATTTATATATATAATAATTATTATTTCTTATTCATCCACGGCCGGCTTGAGCGTTAAGTGACTTAGGCAGTCGACTAAGCCCCAGCCAATAAGAAGGCTCCAAAAATTTAAAATTTCCTATATTAAGTTATACTATAATTATTTCTTAACATTATTAAACTCTAATAAATATAAATAAAAATAAAAAATTATATTAGACCTAACTTCTTTTTTTCTCTTTTCTCTCTCATCCCTCATTCGTCTTTTATATTTGTTCTCAAATATCATATCCTAAAATAAATTCTTTTTTTCTCTTTTCTCTCTTCTTTCTCATTCGGATGTTATGTTAGGCCTCAAATATTTATATCCTAATATTAACTTATTTTCTCTCTTCTCTCTCCTCCCTCATTTCATTGAACTCGAACCGATAAAAATTTAATATTGGACCCAAACATTTACATCTTTATATGACTTTTTCTTTTCTTTTTTTCTACTCCTTATTCACATTTTCCAATACATCCTAACCAATATAGAAATTTAATTTTGGGCCCAAAATTTTGTATCATTAAATATATATATATTTTTCTTTCTTTCTCTCTCATTCACGTTTTTTACATCAGCACTAAAAAAAATTATGGGTAAGTTCAAATATTTAGCATAAAGTACACTTACACACCCTGTGATTTGTCAAAATGACAGACAAATGAAAGTTGTTCATTTTTTGGACAATGACACCCCCTCTCCTGAAATTCCATCCAAACAATATAAAAAGACAAAATTACCCTTCAATATTAAATTCAAATATATTACAAAATATCAGATCTTGCAAAATGACACAATAGCCCCTTATTCATTTTTTCTCTTCTCCTCTTCCTATCACACGGTTCACACCATCTATCCCTTTCTCTCTCTATCTGCTAATATATATATATGACAGTAGTGTTCAATTGCTTCCTGAGAGCAAGAAATTATATACTCACTTTTAATTGTAACCTTAGGATCTAATCCTACGGCAATTAGTTAATTTACTTTTATTATCTTTATTTTAAGAAACTTACATTTTCTTTTCATACCATTAAATATCGTAAAATAAAAATAACAGAATTAGACAATTTATTAAAGGAAACAAGAATAAAATAATTTGGCTACTTTTTGCCAAATTTGCAAGCAGCCACTAAGACGAAGTAAAATTAATCTAAAATTAAAAGTAGTCATTTTTTGTTTTTTTTTTCATACTTTATCAATTCTATTGATAAATTATGAAAAAAAAAACTTAGGATTTGCAATGATATTATACATATTTTGGCATGTTTTTACCGATCAACACTTTGAATATTTAATTTACCAAAAAATATAAAAAATAAAAAAACACTGAAAACATTTAGATAGATATATAATAATATATTAAGAGTTGTTTTGCATGTTTTCTAAAAAATTTATGAAGCCAATAGTAGTCTCCTAATTCGAAGCCAATAGTAGTCTCCTAATTCTAAATTAGTTGCTGAACAAATTCAAAATATTTTATTAAGCTGAGTATAAAATATGGATCAATCTTGAAATTTGAGTATTAATTATAATCAATACTTCTCAAACAATATTTATTTAATGGCCATTTTATTTATCTTTTTTGATTAACTTTTTTTTGTTTATGTTGCTGTTTGCAAATTTGTTGAATAAACAATTGGTAGTAATGGGGAAGTGTTTTTTTACTAGATTATTTTATTTCTGTTTCCTTTAATAAATTGTCTAATTTTGTCATTTTTCTTTAACGATATTTAATGGTACAGAAAAAATATGGAAAGAAAATGTAAGTTTCTTAAAATGAAGAAAATAAAAGTCAATTAAGTAATTGTTGTAAAATTAGATCCTAAGGTTACAATTAAAAGTGAGTATATAATTTCTTGCTCCCATGAAGCAATTGATCACTACTGTGTGTGTATATATATATATATATACTATTATTAAATGTGCAAAGCGTTTCAGTAGTTCAGTATTTATTTATTAATATAAAAAAAAATTATTAATTGATATAAAAAAAAATTATTAAAAAGAGATTCTATAAAACTCTAACACAAATTACCTAATAAAATTTCAGTCCCCTATTTTATTTTTTATAAAACTCTATCACATATAACTTATATATATATTAGGTCCGGCTTATGGTGTGCATATTTTTTATTTTCTCTTTATAATTGGTCTTGTAAGTTTTTTCTTCACTTTTTTATTTTTATAAGCATTATTATTATGTTATTATTATTTTTTCTCTTTTTAATTGATGTTTATGTTTAGAAGTAGTTGATTTGTTTTATTTTTATTTTCTCTTTGTAATTGATGTTTCTAATTGATGTTTAGATGTGGTTTTGACTTTTTCATTTAGAAAAACTAATGAATTTGAAGAGTAAAAAAGAAAAAAATAATAATTTTAGAAATCACACAATTTAGGGAGATACAAAGAAAATATGTACGTTAAAAAAAAAAAAAATTTAAGTAGTAGAAACAGAAAAAGAAAACTTTAAAAGAGAAAAATTAATAGTTTTTATAGAGGAAGGAAATTTTGACTTTTCCATTTAGAAAAAGTAGTGAATTTAAAGAATAAATGAGAAAGTAAAGAGATAATTTTAAAACCACCAATTTAGGAAGATGCTGTATAAAAAATTTCATATATATAGACAAAATAATTACCACATATATTTAGATGGCGGCGAAGGTAAGGGGGCAAGTGAAACCCCCTAATAGGCCTTGATTTATTAGAACTCTTTTTCTAAACTGATATCACCTCTTTATCATTTCGATCTGCTCAAAGTCGACCGGTTTATTAGACGATGGGAAACACATTGCAAAAGCAAGAGGAATCAACCTTCTTCACTTGCCAGATATGTTTCGAATCCATGTTATCATCAACCATGAAATTCAATAACATGAACAGGTGCGTTCATCCATTCTGCAAAGACTGCATGATTAAGTACATCGAAGTGAAGGTGAACAACGATGTCGCCGACATCAAGTGTCCGGGGCTGAACTGCGAGCAGCTGTTAGACCCTCTCACTTGCAGGCCGATCATGGCCGCCAAACTGTTCGACCAGTGGTGCGACCTCCTCTGTGAATCTGCAGTTTTACGGTTTGAAAGATGTTACTGTCCCTATTGGTATTGCTCGGCTCTGATTGTGAACGAGTGTGGAGGGAATGTTAAGAAATCAAAGTGTCCCAATTGCAAGAGGAGGTTCTGTTTCCGCTGCAAGCTTCCATGGCACCCCGGCTATGGATGTGAAGAGAGTGGGGTGAGGATAGATATTAATGATGATATTCAGTTTGGAGTTCTTGCAGAGACGAAGAAGTGGAAGAGATGTCCGCATTGCGACAGTTGCATTGAACTTATTGAAGGTTGCGGTAATATTACATGCAGGTACTCCCTCTCTATATAATAAGCATATTTACATTTTGTAGATAGTCAATTATAACATGGCATGTTGCAAGATTAAGGGGGGCAAATAATCACGGAATCCGATCTAGTGCAGACATGATTGAATTGCTATACCGACGAATTGGTGGCGTGACTCACGGATCGAATCACGATTGGGTTGTTAAAAATCCGATCCGATCAGTGAATAATATATATATATTTTTAAAGAATATATTAGTTAATTTAATTTGTTAATGATAATTTAATGGGATGCATTAGTTAATAATTATTTAAATATATGAATTAATATTAATAAATTAAATTTTTATAAAAATAAATAATAAATAATAATAATTATAAAAATAAAAATAGATTATTTAGAAAAAACCTAATCAATCAGATCCGATCCATTATTACATGGATCCGATCCGACCCCTAGGATAATAGATCAATGGTGGATTAAGATTTGTCTAACTAGGATTGATGCGTAATTTGATCTGATCTATAACCATCCCTAATTAAGACTATGTGACAGGTTGAAAAGTCAAAGAGCCCCACCATATAAACACTGGCATCACGGTTATTAAACCTCCAGGGCCCAGCCCTCATGCAACTCAAACCCTCGTGTGACTCATGTCGCACCAGGTCACTCAAATCCTGACATTGCACCAGGTCACTTAACCTAGAGGACCTAACCCTCGAGTCACTCAAACCCTAGCATTGCACCAGCCAAGTCACTAAACCTTAGAGGACTAGCCCTTGAGTCACTCAAACCTTGGCATCGCCCAAGTCTTTAAATTAACATTGAGGGCCTAGCTCTCAAGTCACTCAAACCTTGGTATCGCACTAGGTCTCTATACCTTGAGGGCCCATTCAAACCATGGCATCACACCAGGTCACTAAACCTCTAAGCCCCGGCTCTTGAGTCACTTAAACCCTGGCATCACACCAGGTCACTAAACCTCGAGGGTAAGACCCTCACGTCATTAAGCCTTAGCATTGCACCATGTCACTATATCTTTAGGGCCTTGCCCTCGAGTCACTCGAACCCCTAGCTTCACACCACGTCACCAAAACTCCGAGGAGCTCACCCTCGAACCACTATAACCTTACCTGGTAAATTAAACCACAACCGCTATTCAGTTATTGGTCCAAACAGGACACGAAACGAAGGCACGGCTTTCTTAGATGTTTGGAACTTTGCACTAGAATGCTTTGAAAGACCTTGGATTGGGGGATGAGAAGCAGATAATTTTCTCAACTTGCAGCGAGGCCCGATCAACAAGATGGATGGAAATATGTTGTGACAGAGAATCTTAACATCACATTTAATGCTTTGACACCATCATTATGTGTTTTACCAACCAATGGTTAAGTAATGATATACCCTTTTAATGCTTCAAACGGGAGAAACGCAACATAGTGCATGGCTTGATGAGAAAAATTGACCTATTAGGCTCCTAGGTCTATTATGACTGTTCAGACGATTATAGGGCAAGGAGGGAGACAATAACCAAGAAGTTTATTATCTATAATAGCACTATCTTAGAATGCATCAAGGCATGACAAGAAACTAAGGCTCTTCTTTACGATAGCATATATTCTCCTAACCTCCATCTGGATTTCGTTGGTTCGGTATTCTTCTCCTCCTTCATTCACTACTTTCTCTGCATCCCTCATATATATGTTTAACACACACAAGTGCAGCTTCAAACGTTCATGACGATTTGAGCTATTCGGGAAGATGAGTCTATTAATCCTATAATAACTTTTATCTATTGAGTCCACTAGGGCAGTGTCAGATCACTAAGACAAAATTGGCACAGTGTCAGATCACTAATACAGCGGGTAGCTCTGGCAATCAATCAGCTTTTTTGAACGAAACAATGGTTGGAAACTAAAAGCCTATATAACAAGTATACTTAGTCTGAAATTAAAATGGGTTCGTTAAAGCATTTTGGTGGTTCTATGCCTTAAAAGGATAGCTTTCAAGGACAGATGAGCGTGTTAAATAGGAAATTAGGTCAAAAAGGAGTTTTTAATGAGTAAGTCTTAAAAACAAAAAAAAAGTGAAATGGTTGGGCGAGATAGTGGGAGACTTGTCTCAGATATATTGGAATCTCAAAAGTGTTGTCTATGTATTTATACAAGCAAGTGATAGTAGTAAATGTGACATATTACTTTAATTTTTCACAATATACTACTGTCTGTCTGAATTTTTTTAATAATTAATTTCTTATTTTTTTATTTTTAAAATTTGTGTTTTTACTACCTAATTAGCATCACTTTTTTTTGAAAGAAAAACAAATAAGGAAGACTATAAGAATTTTTTTTTTTTTTTTTTTTTTTAACTAATCTTATTTTTCTCTATCAATTAAAGAGTCTTCACATCCTAAATGAATTTACTACCTAATAGCACCACATGAATTTAGTTATTTATTTTTTAAAGATAACAAGTTAAGGAATAGTATATAGCAAGATTTTTTTTTTTTGGCAAAATATGAAGACATAATTAATTGATAGGGAAAAATTAGATTCGCAAAAAAAATAATAATAATAAAATAAAAAATTTCTTGTTATATTCTTAACTTTTTATCTTTAAAAAAAAAAAAAAAAAAAAAAAAGTTTTCATATATGATTTTGATGAAAATGATATTATTCCATTCACGGTTAATCAACCAAATTTTGAAAAAGTTGTATCAAATAAAATTGATTTATTTCCTCTTATGAAACAGACTTCTATTGGCATTTTACCTCAATTGTAATTAATTACTAATTCAAATAATATCACTTTCTAAAAAAGTGCAAAGATTATATTAACAGTAGTATTAGATCCTAAGACTATAATTGAAAGTGAGTATATTTTTTACTGCTCATCGAAAAACACTTGAACACTATTATATGTATGTATGTTTATATATATATATGTATAAACACATGGGACATCAATGGTTAGGTTAGGGTATGGGTAGCCCTTTTCCAAACTCATTCTACCTATAAAAGTATTTTTTTCAAATCTTACTCGGGATGTCCTCCGTCAAAGTCGGGATAGATATATACATATTTTTTAAAATAAATTTTATAAATTTGTTTTTAGTATAGCCAAATATTTAACAATAATTGTTGTTAATATAAAATTATCTTAAAAATAAAATGAAAAGAAAAATTATACCTAATAAAATAATATTTATTTATATATTAAGTATTGGTCTTTGCAGGTTTTAAAATCTTTTTCAAACCCTCCTCTAATCCTATTAGGATAATTTAAAACTTGTCCCCTACATGCGCATAAATTATTAATAAGGCAAACAAGTACACTTAGTCAATGAATCGAATTGTGATTCAAATCCGGCTATGAAAATGAACAAAATTTGATCATCTATACAAAAACTATATAGTAGTATCTACATGCACAGAACCGTTCTCATGACTCTAGTGATGTAAAATAGTATCATGAATAATTTATTTTTAAAAATTTCTCAACTTTGATTCAATATATTTATAAATTAGGCTTCAAAAGTCCATGTATTTTGTAAGTTATCGTTGAAAAATTGTGAAATTGAACCTTTTATAATTCAATTTAACCTTTTTATATTTTTATCCCCAAAACAAAAGGTGTGTTTTCTTATTGGCCAAACAAGTAAAAGAAAATTATTTTGATATTTTCTTTTTCGGTAATTCAAAAAATTATTTTGATATGCTTAATTCTTATTCATCTTTTTGAAACGTAGATGTGGGACCAGGTTTTGCTACTGGTGTGGACTCAAGATTGATGAAAATGGGTGTGGGTGCCGGCGCGGGTGTGATTGGAGGGAGTGGTGCTTTTATATAACATTCCTAGTTTTTTTATCTGTTTTGACCCTTATTTGGTTCTCAAATGATTAACGCAATGAGACGGGAGAAAGCATAATCTCATTGTTTCTTATTCATTTTTGTGGAGTGGTATAATTCGAGAATATTGAGAACAATTTTGATTCATTAGTTACTAACTTACTATTATTTATTTATCATCATCTCATTCACAATTACTATAGCGAGAGTGAATTTAAGAATTGTCAAATGGGTTAATATTTTTTTAAGTGGGCTAAGTAATAATTTTTATTTGGACTAAAATTTACTATAGTATTAAACTAATAATAATAAAATTTAGGGTGGACCCCTTAAATCGACTAAAACTCTCTCTCCCAAAGATAGGATCACATTCACCTTCTTCTTTTGAAAAAGAGAAAGATTATAGGACAAAACTTATCAACTCATTAAGAGTATGTTATTCTTATTGACCGATGACGTGATCCAATCATAAATACAAAGTGATAAATAAGAATAATAATTTTATTTAAAATAAATTCATTTTGAAAAATATATGTTTTACAGATATTTAAGTTATAAGTAACTTTATACTAATGTGTGAGATAATTAATAAAATGTTAAAAAATAATTAATTAAATATGCAACTTAATATTTAATTAAACATGTAAAATAAAGTAATAAATAAAGAATATGAACTTATGCTAGTATTGAATACTATATCCTTAAGACAATTTATGCTGGTGCTGACAGAGTATGTAGCACTTATTTTCCCCATGATACAACGGTCTACATCTACTAATAGTGGCACTACAAACTCGTGGATACGGCTAACCTCATTTGTGTAATAAGCTCTTTGACTAAGAAATGCATTTATACTAATGCTAAATTAGGTACAATTCGAACCAAATGGTTCGGACCAATCTTAATATGACTCAATGAAATTGGATCAAGGTCTAAGTGACTCGAACCACTTGACATGTGGTTTGAACCAACTTGAGTTGGGTTCAAGTCTAAGAAGGGAGAGAAGAAATCAAAGAATTGAATGAATTGCAAATGGCAACCCAATGAGGTATTTATAGAAATATAAATGCCTTTTCAAAATGAATATATCTTGGACAGAACTATTTATACGCTTCCCTTTATTACCAACACCAAAAAAAACTTCTGTAGTTTTACCAATTCCCACAACCCTTAAATATAATAAATAGGGCTTGCGTAATGACAATGGTGGATGAGAATAAAAAACACAGAATGATGACAAGATTGAGAATAAAAAAACACAGATCTTTGTGCCATTATTAAATTTGAGTAATGGTAGAGCAACCAAATGGTTTCTCCCAAAAATTCACCGAATCGGACATGGCTTGGCCACTTAAAAATTTTTAGTCCTAGAGCTTCAATTAGGTCAGATGGATCAACAGGGAAAGCCCTGGCTCTAACGCTCTGGTCACCAGATGGCTAAGTCAGAACTTGAAAATCAAGATTTTGTTAACCCAGAGACCAAGAAAAGAGATTAGGAAGATGGGGGAGGACAGCTCGGCTTCTGTAAGTTTAAGTGTATATCTTTTATCACCTCACGTGGGCTTTAGGTGGGTCATCCAACGTTCATCTTCAATACTGCGTCTTCAACCTCACAAATTTTCTAAGATCCAATTGTAGCACTCAACCGCGAGGAGCCTGAGAAGATGTTGTTCCGGTGAAAATACAGTCACTTGCAATGGAAGCCGTCGAAACGTAGTCTCTTACCAGATGTTGAACCGCAGTCTGTTGCTATGGAAGCCCAAATAATCCCTCTTGCAATGGAGGCCTTCGAAGCGTAGTCTCTTGCCAAATGTTGAAGCACAGTCTGTTGCTATGGAAGCCCAAATAATCCCTTTCAAGGCTTGTCACTGCTGATTTTACCGTTTGAGTATACTGATAAAATGAATCGAATCTTAATTCGCAATCTATTAATAAAGTTGGATGTTGATAAAAAGAAAATTATGGGAAAAAAAAAAAGTGCTCTTGGTTACTTGACGATGCAAAGCTTCCAAATCTATAATTAAGATTTTTCTTCAGATCTCCTCCTCTCCCTATCTATATATTTTTATAATAATTATGTTGTGTTTGATCTGTATAAGGATAGAATTATGAAACCTAGAATTCTATTAAAACTGTAATGTTTATTCTTAGTTATATATTAATATAATTATATATTTGTTTCACACATCTATGCTTGTTTGAACACGTATATGAATGCTAGGCTTTGTTTTTGGTTAGTGATTCATGGGTATAAGACCGTCTCTTGCAGTGGAAGCCAAAACAATCTCTCTCGTCGCCGTCGAGTGCTCCGATTCAGCCTTAAGAATATGATATGCGCAGTAGGAAGTTGAAGACAGTGAAGGACCCACCCAAAACCAACAGGGATAATTCCATAAAAATGAAATTTTGGAGGTCAAAGGATAAAAGAATGGAGTCAAATTAAGTTTTTCAAATTAATAAAATTTAATGTAAGTGGATATAAAAAATTACTATATATTATGTTTTTATTCCCAAAATAACCTTCTATTATTTTTATGAAATTATACTACTAACCCTATCAAATCTAGAGTGAGAAAATAAACATATTTATGTCAATCCTCTCAAACTCTCCTTCTCCAGTAGCTTCTCTTTCCTCAAACTCCCGAATCACACCATCAAAATCACTGTAAAAAGAATAAAGTTAAAATTCACTTTCTGTTCATTTTCTTTATAAATCATCAGTTCTCAATATAATTTTCTTTCTAACTTTGATTTTTTCCTATATTTTACTTATTTATTTTTAATTTCCTTTCTAAGTTGTCGATGTAATTTCCTTTCTAACTTTGATTTGTCCCTCTTAATTGATATTTTATTTATTTATTTTAATGTAATTTTTTTTATTAAAATAATGAAGTTTCATTAAAATAAATTTACTAAACAAATAAAATTGCCATTTAAACCGACACTAATAAATATTACAGTCTTTGATTCTCTCTATCTCACTACCACTGCCAAATTCAAGATCTTCATAGTACATAGATATATAAAAATAAATAAGTAAAATAGAAAGGGAAATCAAAGTTAGAAAGGAAATTACATTGAGGGGAAATCAAAGTTAGAAAGGAAATTACATTGAGAACAAATGTTTTATAAAGAAAATGAACAGAAAAGTGAATTTTATCTTCATTTTTCTTACAGTGATTTTGACAGTGTGTTTTGGGAGTTTGAGGAAAGAGGAGTTGCCAGAACGTTTGAAAGGATCGGCGTTTCTCTTCCCTCTCTAGATATGAGAGGGATAGTAGCATAATTTCATAACAATAATTTGGAAATAAAAAAGATGATGTATAGTAATTTTTCATATCCACCTCAGACTTTTATAAAATTTCATTAATTTGGATTTTAACTTCATTCTTTTGTTCTTTGATCCCCAAAACTCTATTTTTATGGAATTATCCCAAACTAAGATACTAATTTCCTTGTCTTGAAAAAATTATTTAATAAATAAATTTTTTTTGGGGCCTTTCTAAAATTGAGATAAGTAGATAAATTTTTGGACTCACTTTTAAACATCTCTATTCAAAAGAAATAAAAAATTTAGAAAGATTATCCGTCCCAATTTAAGTGTCACTTATGAAAAATAGTAATTTTTAAGGAGACACATGGGGTATTCCTTGTCTCCCTAAAAATTTATTAACTTGCCCTTTTAAGTTTTGAATATTCAATATTAAAATTTTAAACTTAAAAGAACGGAAGATGTAAAATATATTGTTTGAAAAAGAAAAGTGGACACTTATTTTGAGACAAACAAAACAGGAAAGTATGATACTTATTTTGAGACGGAGGGAGTAATATATATTTATTTTCGGATCTTTTTATTAATTAGGTTTAGGCGATCTAATTCGTGATATGTCAATAATCATTTCATAATATACACGTGTGTATGTGGGTCACAGTAGGCAATCACACTATATGCAATTAACATAAATATTTATGTGTAGCCCAGATCACATTTCAAGCAATTATTAATTGCAAGCAAAACTTTAGTTTCCACACAATGGCGTACATAAGGATAACAATTTTTGTACAAAAATAAAAGCTTGTGTCTATTTGTCCCAACGATGATAATTCTATAAGAACAACATACACACGCATATGGAGAGTAAGTGGAATACATATTTGTGTAACGGTTGGGCTTTTTAAGATTAAATAGAGATAGAACAAGAGTGGTACAAAAATAATAAAAGTGATGTGCAAAAAACTAAATAGAGATATGGGAAAATGAAGGATTTTAACTCTTAAAATAAATAAAAGTGTATATACAAATAAAAAAATTAATGAATAAAAAATTATAAAAATAAATAAAAGGCCTTATACTTGTATAATAAAAATATATGAAGATATAGGTACATAATAACTTATTGCACAATTATATATATATATATTCTAATTAATTCCAGAATTGAGAGTCCACTACATATTAAACAACAACCAATAAATCAAAGGACACTAACTTAAATGTCATAATCTTTCCCATTCAAATAAAAGGTTGAATATTTAACTCTCATAACAAACTTCAACCATGCGACATGATAAGATAAATAAATAAATAAATAAAAAAGAAACCCAACAACAACAACACTAGGAATCTAACCATATGACGTAACCAAAAACCTAACCGTGAAGCAACTACCATTCCTTGTTTTAACCGAAAAAAAAAAAAAAAAAAACCTACCATTCCTTGTACAGATTAAAGAACAGTCACGTGTCGATATATCATTGGTTTCTACCTCACTTCTTTTTTAAGCAACCTCTCCGATTCCAACGAGACGACTGGTACATAGAAAAGAAGATATAGCCGTATATATATGTATATATATCTGATGACTCTCACACGAGATACATACGGGTTTCAAATTTCTAGCTGAAACATGGATATCCGTTTCTCTCTCCTCTTCGTTTTCTCTCTCCTCTTAGCGACGACTTTCGTCTCCGCCGATGACGATGACCTCGTGATCCGTCAGGTCGTCGACGACGACCACTTGTTGAACGCCGACCATCACTTCTCCCTCTTCAAGACCAGGTTCGGAAAATCGTACGCCACGCAGCAGGAGCACGATTATAGGCTCACGGTGTTCAAGGCTAACCTCCGCCGCGCGCGGCGTCACCAGGAGCTCGATCCGTCGGCCGAACATGGCGTGACTCAGTTCTCCGATTTGACTCCGGGTGAGTTCCGCCGGAACCACCTAGGGTTGAAGCGTCTCAGGCTTCCCGCCGATGCCAACAAGGCTCCGATCCTTCCTACCAATGACCTCCCGACAGATTTCGATTGGAGGGACCATGGGGCCGTCACATCTGTAAAGAATCAGGTATGAAATACACACAAACCAACAAAAATTCATTTAAGTGGAAGTATTTGTTGTTTATTGGGTAATTAGGGCTTTTTGGGTATTGAAATTTGAATTTTGAATTTTTTTTATTTTTTTATTTTTTTTTATTTTGTTATTGTTGACTAATTGGTAATTAGGGCTCTTGTGGGTCGTGCTGGTCGTTTAGTACTACTGGGGCATTGGAAGGTGCGAATTATCTTGCTACAGGAAAGCTTGAGAGCCTTAGCGAGCAGCAGCTTGTGGAATGTGATCACGAGGTATAATTATGATTGACTATAAGAAAAAGTAGATTCTTTTTGTTCATTGATTATGGTGTTCAAGAAAGAATGATTGTGCGTTTGAGATTCTTTTTTAAAGATCTCCCTGATACTTAATATTAAGGTGTAATAATTTGATTTCACAATCTTAGCTTTGAAATAATCGGTTGACCTATTAGGCCTTTTAGCAACAAGTTTTAACCAAATGGTAGTATTAAGGCCCATGTAGTTTTGTGAAATGAAAACTATTCTCCCACCAAAGCCTCGTGTTTGCTTAATGGATAGTATAAATGCTGAATTAGTTTTAGTGGCAATGTAACGAGAAGCTTTGAATGGTTGGTGAGACAAAGCCTGAAAAGGAATAGAATAGTTGAGGGGGCTTTGAATAGCTGATGCTTATAGTTTGCATTTGGAGTTGATGTTTGCTGTTAATTTTTTTTTTATATAATAAATGATAAGGTTACTTAATTGCCTAAGTTCCTTCACAGTTGAATGTTATCATTTTTAGTTGAATTTATTTGTGTTCATATCCTTAAAGGGTTGAAATTACTTGTGCCATACCGTCTGAAGGCCAAGAGGCTACTAATGCCTTTCAATTAGGATTATATTAGCTATATATAGTTTTTGTAATTATGGGATTAGATTAGTTGAATTACCTTTTACATAGTTACTGTAATTATTCCTCCTTGATTGTAGCCACTTTGTTTCGAAAATTGGTTATATTGCCTGCCCGTGGAAATCCATAGTTTGGAGTTTGGATTGAGCGACATGGCTTCAGTATTAGCTACCACATCTGACCTCTTTTCTGAAACTTTGAGGTGACTAGGCCTAATTTCGTTTTACATGAATCTCATTTTACATTTCACTACCAAAATATAGAATTGTTTCACCACTATGTCCATCTAATGTTTAGGTGTGTACGGTTAACATGTATATATGCCTCTATATATGCAAATATTTTGATGACAAATTAATGCTTAGCAATGCTTTAAATATATTATGACATCTGGAGGGAAAGATGTCGTTCCTTGAAGAATATTCTTTCTTCATTCTTATAAATTTAAGCTTGTATCCCTGCAGTGTGATCCAGATGAACCAGGTTCATGTGACGCTGGGTGTAATGGTGGGCTGATGAATAGTGCCTTTGAGTACACTCTCAAAGCTGGTGGGCTAATGCGAGAAGACGATTACCCTTACACCGGTACTGATCATGGAACCTGCAATTTTGACAAGACCAAGATTGCAGCGTCAGTGGCTAACTTCAGTGTTGTCTCCCTCGATGAAGATCAAATTGCTGCAAATCTTGTGAAGAATGGTCCTCTCGCAGGTACATAACTCTCTTTTATTTTTTTGTTTCCTTTAATTTTCCACCTCAAGGTATTTCTTGCCCAATAACATAACAAATGTGTTCATTGCTGGAGTACCACTCAAACTAGCTGCCCTGCAACTCAACTAACAACCATGCCTTGTCGTAACTACTTTTAATCAGATAACAGGTCCATCAATTCCTGTCAACAAATTTTGTTGCCAAGATTGTAGGTTCTGCTATATGTTCTTCTTTGAAGGTTCACTTGGAAGCAAAGTTGGCCCCCATACCCATTTAGATTTAGCTGTCAAACATTAAAAATGTATCCAAAGCATTACTTATCACAAAAAAAGAAAAAATTGTATCCAGTGCATTTTCCAGTCTTTTTTTTTTTTTTAGTTCGAAGTGACGTCATTACAGGGTTAGTCGGACAGCATTGTTAAATGATCATTTATCTTTGGATGCAGTGGCCATTTAGGAAATTATGTCTGGTGCATTTCAAAGTGACATCCATATATTACAGGGTTAGTCGGACAGCATTGTTAAATGATCATTTTTTTTTTTTTTGGATGCAGTGGCCATCAACGCAGTTTATATGCAGACATATGTTGGGGGCGTTTCATGCCCATACATCTGCTCGAGGAACTTGAATCACGGGGTGTTGTTGGTAGGGTATGGTTCAGGTGCCTACGCTCCAATCCGAATGAAGGACAAGCCGTTTTGGATTATAAAGAACTCATGGGGAGAAAATTGGGGAGAAAAGGGATACTACAAAATTTGTCAAGGTCGCAATATTTGCGGAGTGGATTCCATGGTGTCAACTGTTGCGGCTATTCATACCACATCTCAGTAGGATATGTAACCAGAGTTACATTTATTCACTACAGTTAGTGTCTGTACATAAGGGAGTGTAATTGCACGGTGCAACACCATTCTCAAACACTGAAATGACACCGTCTGTAACAAGTTCTACCATCTATCATGAAATGTTTAAAGTGGAAAACTGTGATATTATGTGTTTTTTAAAGGTAAAAGTGTGATATTATATGTTTTTCTAATTCATTCAAGAACCCCTTTGAAAGCAGTTTTCAAGATTGAAAACTGTCAAATTTTATTCAAACCTACTTAAGTCAGATTCATAATTAAGAATTTAATGTAACCGGCTTAACTCAGTTTCATAAACAGCTTTTAAGCATTTTAGAACTATTGTTTTCCAATTCCCTAAGAAATAGTTTTTCAGCGTCAGAATACTGAACTAGAAGAGCCCTCAACAGGGCCATGACAACAATTTTGCTTTCAGAACACTTGTTAATAACAATAGAAGAAAGGCAGCATCCACCCACAATGATTATGATCTAGATTTATAAGTTTTATCAAGTATTACAAAAAGAAAATTAGGTGTCATTTTGCTTAGAACTGCAAATGAAGCAAGCTTTGTATTCAGTCAAATTGGAGCCTGTTCAAGTAAGTTTCAATGTTTCAATTCACCTCAATTGTTGGTACACTAATTTAGGTCATGCATTCTAAATTCTTTGCCCTAGAAACATGCTTCGGTGCAATTCCAACAACTTTGCAGAAAATATCTAATACAAGTCACAGAAAAAAAAAAAAAAAAAAATTATCATCACAGATGAATGTATATTCAGACATTCAACAAGAAACAGCAAAAGACAAGCAGCTTTCATATAATTCTGAAGCCAAGACAATATTTCTCTTCCATACACAATGATCAGCCCCATGGCCGTACTTAATCTATTTGCTGTTCCAGCGAACAATTTAGCATAAACAGTTCGGCAAATATATAGATAATGTCAGCCTGCCCCCATTTTCAGTTTGTTCTCTCATATTCTTTTTACACTGTCACCATGAACAGCAACAAACCCCTCGCTTGCAAGAGTAGCAAGTGCATTTCTCAGCTGGTATAACATGGTGAGCGTATCAGTACAATCATTCAAATTAACATACACATTGAGGAGAATGAGGAAGAAAACTTACATCATTAAGGTGGATTTCAGAACCCAAACTTTGCTTCTTCAACTCTTCCAGTAACTGCAACATAATTTCAGCACAAATGAGATTTTGGGTTGTGATGTAGATTAAACAAATAGAGCTCCAATTTCAATCAAATTAATGTACCTCCACTAAGCGACAGGAGGATCCCCCAAGTTGCATCTTCTCCATAATTGTGTTCCGAGTTTCTGTAACCAGATTTTCCCTTCTCATCCTTTCACTTGCAGAGACCCCAGTTGTGATGAGATCCATATCAATGGTTCCTGGTCAAGAAAACCTTGTCTGTAAGGCTATTCGTTTAAAGCATACAAAGAACATGTTGAGAGCTCCTAGCTATGATACTTTCTCTTTTTTGGCCTCATCCTCTAGAGGGTCTGTCATTTAGAAAAATTGGGTTTCTTTTCATAAGGAAATTTGTGTGGAGGTTCATGTCCCTTCTTGCTTTGTACTCTAGTGATACTATTTTTAGGGTAACACATCTATGAATCCTTCCAACCCTTTAATTAAATCAAAAAATAAAATGAAATGAATAAGGCATGTTTTAGCACTTCTATTGCCCAATCCACTCCACAGTGTCACATCTGCTTATGAAATGATGAAGGTACAAATACCATAGTAGCTATAAACAATAACTCCTACAGTGTCACATCTGCTTAAATTCATGCTGGACAAAACTAAAATAACTTCCACCATTTTAAAAAAAGGTTATTCCAGATTACAGAGAACATATAATTGCATAAAAGAAAGTTCCTGTCACAACATTGCAACGATAAAAAATAAGTTTGGTTCATGATATTACCAGCTCAAACAAAATATTATACCAAATGACCACTAGAGAAAGGAAGACTTGCTCAATCCTATGAAAAAACAGCTTAGGTTTATAGGTTCTAAATTAGGTGCTAAAACACTAAGGAATGGGAGCTAGAATAGAGGAGTTAAACATTACCAGTTGAGTGATCTGTTGCAGATTGTTGCATTGCAACTTCCAGAAGCCGAAAAGCCTCCATTACATCTTTCTTCTCAACCTGCATGCATCAGGAAAATGATCTAAAAAGTTAACCCATTATAAACCATGATATATACTACAAGGACACAAGGCAAGTTATACTAACCCATTCTGAGAAGCGAATCCGAGCCAGGGCTTCACTAAGGCGTATTAAACTTTCAATTTGCCTAGGTGTAGCTGTTATCACCTGTTGATTAACCAAAGCAAATGAGAAGTACATCCGTGCAGTATTCGAGAATTAATCAAGAAAATATCATGAAAAAGTTAGGAGCCATGGTAATAACCAAAATGTAACAAAGATTTCATAGATGATCCAAGAAAAGTCAAGGATGACTACCAACGGGCCAGTGGTCTAACGGTATCAGCCTCCTACTTTCCAAAGGAAGGTCAGAGGTTCAAGTCTCACAAGAGACAAGTGTGTGAGTACCAACTAGGAAAAAAAAAAAAAAAAAAGTCAAGGATGACTTTAATTAGGGAAAGAATAACATTGTATGTACAGTTACAAAAGAAGTGGAACGTAATTCATCGTTTGAATGTATATGAATAAGTATGTTACGATGTAGGAAACATCAAACAAGAAATAAAATAGGATTTCATACTTTCTTGCTACTGCCTGGGAAGTTTCCTCTTCTTCTCATTTCGACATAGCCTCGAGTCAACTCTTCAGCTGCTTCATCAGATAATTGTGGATGAATATGCTTTCGAGCATAGCTCACATATGCAGTTAATGTCGGAAGGTCGAGGACATCCTGCTGTATACTCTGCAGGTAGAGAAGCATGCAATTTAGTGAATTAACAAGGGAGATCGCAATATTAGTAATTTATAAGAGAGTAACAAAATTTTCAGACCTCAGGATCCTCAAAGTGTAATGCAACAATATGCTTTGCTAGGCGCCTGTCTGTCTGCTCATCAGCCTTATCAAGAATTAAGTAAATCAAATCAAACCTGGAAAAGCATTAATTAGTAACAGAGTAGTTGTAATTGAAGTCCAATGTGCTGTTATTTTCAGCCATAAATTGGGGTCATTGGACTTCTAAATCTCCAACTAAAATAATGTTATAAACTAAAAGAAGGGAAAAAGATGTAATTTAAGGTAATAGTATCATATAGATTGTAACCATGCTAATGTAACTTGACGCATGGTACATGTATTGTATCTTCATACCTGGACAACAAGGTGGGAGGAAGGTGTATATTGTCAATCACAGACAAGCGTGGGTTATAACGTGAACCACTTGGGTTGGCACAAGCCAGTACTGATGTTCTAGCATTAAGGGAAGCAATAATTCCCGCCTTTGCAATTGAAACAGTTTGTTGCTCCATCACCTGAAAAAGGTTGAAGGCAGTGTTACACAAGCAGTTCAGATGATCAATGGAGTGTCAGGTTAAGGTAGTGATCTAATTAAAATGAAAACCAATGCAAATGCTCACCTAATATGTAAACTGTGGGTTAGTCAATACAATGATATTTCTTGTTTATTGTAGAATACAAAAAAATAACTTAACTCGTGAGGTTTTCAGTGAGGAAAATAGGAAATAGCACTAACCTCATGTAACATGCTCCTTGCATTGTCAGACATTTTGTCAAATTCATCAATACAGCAAATACCTCTGTCACTTAAAACCAGGGCGCCACTCTCCAGAACCTAAAGAGTATTATAATTAATGAGATTAACAAGGAAAAAGAAAATTTTGAACATAATGCAACTAAGAATCCTACAGTTTCCCCTGTCTCGGGATCTTTGGCAACATATGCAGTCAATCCAACAGCAGAGCTCCCCCTTCCACTGGTGTAAATGCCACGAGGAGACAGCTTGTGTATGTATTGGAGCAGCTGGGATTTGCTGGTTCCGGGATCACCAACGAGAAGAATGTTGATGTCACCACGGAAGCTAGCCCCGGATAGCAACTTCAATGCATTCCCACCAAAAAGCTACATTGGGGCCATTTAACTAACATTAGGTTAATAAGCACACTAAATAGTGAAAGACTGACAAAGTTATATTCAAACTTTGAACAAAATTAATCAGGGCATTGATGAATCAAGAAATCTGTAGTACCTGGCAAAGAAGTCCTCTCTTTACATCATCCAGCTCCCATATGTTTGGTGCCAAAGACCTGGTTAGCCTGTCATATATATCTGGCTGTTTTGATAGCTCTTTCAGTTGCTCCACCTGCATGCCAAATAAAAGTGAGGAAATTAATAAATACAAAGAAATTTTTAGCAAATAAGAAAGCAAAAAAAAACATTCAGTACCTTGTCTTCATAGTCAGCAGAGGTATCTGCTTCATCTCTATTTGAGCTATTCTCAATTTCCATTGGATCCTCTGCCCGCATTCTAGACTTGTCTGTCTTCTTTAAATGAAGACAGTCTATGTAAGTCTGCAAAAAGGAAACGTTACTAAATTCAGAGCATTAATTATTTAATAAGTTTGAATAAAACGGAAAAAATAGAAAAGGCATGCCTTAAATAAAGATTTCACAGTTCTCTGTGTTGGCCCAATTCTGACACTCATGGCCCTATAAATCCCAGTGACCTATGAAAAGGTAAACATGTTACTCCGATCGGGGGAAATAAATAAATTACCATTTTTCTTCTAGGGGCTACAGAAAGCGGTAATGCATAATGTATAACCTCACCTCAACTCTGTCACCTGGCTTCCCAGCGTCCACCAGTTTGTCATGCATCAACAAGCTCACTGTGTGTGGTGTGCCTCCATCAGGGATCTCATCTGGTGTCTCCTGGAGTCTCACGATCTGTTTATCAGCAAACCTGGTTTTGAAGAAGGATCTGTTAGTCAAATATATACTTGTCCAGGCTAGATTTTAAACATGCCATTTCCTGTGGATGGGTCCTTTGGGAAAAGATTTAATCAACTAGACTTCATATTGCAACTTGAAAATTTTGACTGATTTCATGAATCGAATTGGCTTAAATAATTGAAATGTCAAGTATATTGATGTGATTTTTGCGGATAATCCTTTTATCATAAAGCACTTTCATATTTAATTTTGTTATTCTTAGCTTAACTTCAAAACTTTGGGTACTATATAAGACTATAACTATTACTACAATCTGGTCTGAAATGCCTCCTTCATTATCAACCTGAACTGAAACATCAAACAAACAATATCAAGGCGTCAGGCTCTTAGAGGTGGAATAAACTACTGCCACTAATGAGCAAACTCACTCCTGAAACTACATAGAGGTTCATGGGCGTTTAAAACCCAAAATTATAAAACCATATAGAGGTTTTCTTGAGTTTTAAGACCCAAAATAATGAAAAAGTAACATGGTTTCATAAATATGAGTCTGTTGACTTTTTCATTCCAGAAGAAGCATTAACAGAGTTCATAGGAACTATCTATGCTATTAAAGGTTTAATTTATGGACCCGTAGTAAAAGTTCTCAGAAGCATATACTTATAACCAAATGTACATGAGGATTCTAACATGATCAAGCACTTTGAAGGTAGTCTTCACAATGATAGTTTCTTTAATTTAGTTCTCCTTAGTAGTCATTTTGAGTTCAAACTCTGTTTCGCGAAGTGAAGTTGAGGCATGCAAAAGAATCATTCTTTAATCTGGAATATGTCAAAAAAATTGAGTAACAATGATGCCAAAGCTTCTAGAGAGAGGTTCAGAGGGGAAAGCAACAAATTGGCAAAGCTTCTAGAGATCCTACATTACTAATGGGAACACAAGGGCGGCTTACTAAGTACAAGATCTAAAACAACTTTCTATATCATGGTATTTCAATAAGCAACCAATAAACAAAATTAAAACAGATACTAGTAATATATTACCTGCATCGATTGTGAACCAGTGTCATGGAGTTCTTGGCAAGACATTCTTGCTTCCCACACACTGTTGGTTCATTGATTCGTCCTGGTAACATGTAATTGTTAACAAACAACAGGCAAGTTGTACAAAAGCAACATTTACGAAGACATACAACTATGCAAACAGGGTATCGCCTACAATTACCTCGATCAACAACAATGGGGTCAGAGTAGTAGCCGCATATAAGGCATCTAAAAGTTGCTTCCCTGATTTCAGGTATAATTGAACTAGAGCGGATAATCATTCCTTTCAAAGATACCATCTTCTCAATGTCTAATCAAAGCATACAAACCAGTTATCATAAGATAGTATCCTAGTAGTGAAAAAAAGAAAAACTAAATAACAGAATGAAATCGATAGGAAATGTTGTGAAAAAGACTAACCAGATGGATTGAGATTTCTCATCGATGTGGAGGTCTTGAGATTAAAAATTCGAGCTTGTATGTGCTTTTCAAACAATGGATTGATTCGACTAACCATATCCATCAACACAATGTCGAAAATCGCAAGAACTTCAAGTGGGTACCTGACCATCTTCGCATACAAGTCAGTATCATAATCGTACACATTGTGTGCATCTACATCAAGCGACTCTCCCTCAACTTCAATCACATGATGAATAGCCCTCATATATTTTCCCTCTGTGTGCAATGGGTGTTCGCGAAAATGCCTCAAAAACCGGAGAATCGCAGCATTGACATCCTGAACGCTGATATTGGTGCCCCAAACGAACATAGGCGGGGCTTCGTCAGCCTCGTCACCATCGCCTCCTTCAGAAGACGGCGGGGCCTCGTCGGTGGACGAAGGGGTGGCAGCCACGGGGGTGGAAACGGAGGCCCTTCTTCCGCGTCCCCTTCGACGCGAGCTGGAGGGAGTTGGGGTTCCATCAGGGGCTGCAAATCGGGACTGTTGAGGCGGCGGTGGGGTTGCGTATGAGGCGGAGGATCGACGGCCTCGTTTTCGAGGATCGCCGGGGGACGAGAAGGTATTGCCGATCGGACTAGACAACGAGTCATCCGGAGATGAAGGTCCTGTGATGATCCAATTAGTAGCAGCAGTTAAGGTAAAATGAATACAATACGAGTATATACATCTATATATATATATAGTTATACACAACAAATTGCATAGAGAGAGAGACTTACCACCGTTTATATTTGCTGGAGAAGAATCGGATGCCATGGTTAGAGAGAGAAGAGTGAGAAAATTTGGGGGCGCAGGGTTTGCAGTTAGATATGAAATCTGAGTGTCGCTGGGTTGATTTGGCGGGAAATGGTTGTGCTTTCCCGCCAGAATCGCCCTTTATGGACATTGATGGGTTAATTTGGTTGGGCTTCAGTGAGTGGTCAAGAAGGAAGGCCCGGAAAGCTGATACAGGCCATTTAATCAAAGAGACTAAATCGAGCCCAATTAATCAAACTTCAACCTAGGCCCGGCCTATGGTAATGATCTGTTTTCAAAAGAGAAAAACTATACAGTTAATCGAACTTTAAACCGATGAGAGGTGATGTAATAACTCCGGTTATTTTTATATGACCAAGGTCCTTCTGCCTTAGTCATGTATTTTCTATTTTTCAAACTTTCAAAATGGACGATGAGGATTCGAATTTTCAAATGATCAAAGTAGATATGTGAGTGAGGTGTTGTGAGCTTCTTGCCAATGACAAAAAAAAAACGAAAAAAAAAAACAATAATAATAATTTATATGAGTAGAATTGACATCAACCCTATTACTTACATCATAATGTCGGCAACGACTCACATACATAACACCATCTATATTTTAATTTAATATTAAGTATTAATTTAATATAAGGTAGGAATTAGGGAGGCGATTTTCACTCTCATTTTCTAGATTTGCACTCTCATTTAAAATATAATGACCCTTTTAACACTAACTTCACAAATGAATGATTAATATTTTCTTTTTAAAAATTACAAAACTACCTTCTATAGATATGGTTGGTCTTCCCACTCTCCAATTTTTAATATTTTCGATCTCTTTTAAAGGGAATCAAAAAAAAAAAAAAAAATACGCGAAGAAAAAAAAATTGGACCCAAAAAAGTTATAATTAAATTATCTATTCTGATAGGACATACAAAAAGAAAAAAGAAAAAGAAAATTTCTCTGTTAAATGACTTATTTCTTTTGACAGGACTCAAAAAAAAAAAAAAAATAGGGTTAACCAACCCTATTGAATGAATAAATTATTTCTTTTGATTGGATAAAATATATATATATATATACTAAAAAGAAAGAAGGGACCCAAAGAGTTATCACTAAATAAATAAAAAGTTATATTTGTTGAATAAATTATCTTTGACAAGACAAAAAATATATATATACCAAAGAAAGGAAAGAACATATAAAATACAAAATACAAAATAAAAATAGATAATAAAAAGTTGAAGTTTACAATGTAAAGAGTAGATAAATATAGTATTATTAAATAAGAAATGATGCATTAATAGAGTTTAAGATTTTTTTATTATTTTCTTTAAAATAAAATTATAAGTGCAAGTGTAGAAGCTGAAGGGAGAAAAAAAATTGTAAGTGTAGAAAAGGATCCCTTTACTAAATGCTAGGCAACTAGGAACCAAAAATATTATTCCTTATTTGCACTTTGTGGAAATAATTCTAGGGCTAATGTTATGTTTAGGTACCAAATCGGTTGAATTTGAAATAGAAATAAAAAATTTCCAATTTTAAAGCACGGACTTAGTACTCCTGACCACAATATAAGTTGTGTTTGTATTTATTTAAGTTAAAATGTGTGACAATACAAATTATTTTGTGTAAATAATACAGTCGATGAAACTCAGAACCCACAACAATTTCAAATCCAAAGTGCGACAAAATTTTTGTATAAAGTTCAATTTTTTTTTTTAATGATTTGATTCAGTTTAATTTTGGATACTCAGTATAATATTTTTGGTGGTTTGCTTGACTGTAACATTTTTTGAGATATTTTCAACCACCAACTACTAATATTGTTTTTGACCTTCAAAATAATAATAATAATATTGTTTTTGAGTTCAACCTCACCCTCCACAAGCTCCACCCAAAGAGAGAGGACCATGTCAAGGTCCCCCATTAATTTAAGTGGTGGTATCCTTGAAATGAAATCCTCCCAATGATGGCATATTTTACACAACCCAATTCCATTACAACTGTACATTAATATCATCCAAGCAATCATATATATCGTTGAAACTGAAAAAAGGTTGAAGTAGACGGGCATGCCACTAAAGCTTGGCTAGTTTGCTTCAAAAAGATCCCCCAATAATTGGCTAGGGCTGTGTTCAAATTGCATGCCATAACATATCTTCTCCGAGAAAGTATATATTTACATGTGGTATCCCGTCTAATGCATAATGTCATGGAAATACTTAATTTTTTTTTTTTTTTTTTTTTTCATATTACGAGAAATTAGTAGTTTTTAAGAAAATACTCTACCCCCAACATCGGAGCCTCACCGGGTCCTTGGCCAGATAGGCCCCATGGCTGGTCCAAGCTATTGAGAGCGACTGTTCTACAATATTTTTGTTCTACTTCTTGTTTGAGTTCCAAAAAAGAACATTTGCTTTACGCGATGATCCAAAGTCTTTCATATGAATGAGACATATTTGAACCCTTTTTTGTTTTTTGTTTTATTTTTGGTTTTTTGCCGATGAAACAAACTATAAATGCAAACAAGAAAATTACTACCCACATCTTTTTCCTTCAGAAAACTCCAGAAAAAACACCAATATATTTATATGGACCATTTTTGGGATATGGTTTTATATTACAAGAGATGGCAGACGAATTCAAGAGATCATTGTTAGTAAAAAATCAGAATGTCTAGTACAAAATCTCATGTTTGAGTTTGAATAGAGTCTTTTTATTCAAAAAATATCAAGATGATAGGTGTTTGTACTCGATGCATGTGAAGTGACACTCAATTATAAGCATGCTAGCTAAAAATAAATAAATAAAATTATAAGCAAACACCACATTATTATTTGTACAATTCTAGCGTGTATACATGAAAATTACACTTCCTTTTCCCATGTTCTGAAAATCATGGATGTGATTTTTGTGCAAGAAATTAGTTCTAAGATCACCTTTCCTGCTCTTCTGGCATCGTTAGCTGTTGATTTTAGTAATTAACTAGATCAATTTGGAGAGATGTTGGTTCATTTAGAGTATCACATGTGTGTGTGTGTGTGTGTGTGTGATTTTAGAAACTAGGAGATAGTGTGATTCTAGAAACTAGGAGATAAGATCACAAATGTTCTTTTCACAATCATGATTACCTTAATTACATATAAATTCAATGCAAAGCTGCGTTACAATCAACATTTAAATGTATCTATATATCTCAAACTGACATGAAATTATGGTATATAAATTGCCAATGTCAATAAGTGGCATCTGCAAGTAACCCTTCTACAACTAATAGAATGTTTATATTCATTTACTATAAAGGGAAAGCTCTTGGCAGATGTGCAAACTCTACCTCAAAGGATATCTTAATTTGAGACCCAAACTTACCAAGGCGATAAAGGAGTAGAATTAATGTGACCTGCACAATCTGATATTAGTAATGAATAAATGACATATTTGATACTTGTAATATATATATATATGATCATACAGCTGCGTTTACCACCTTCAATATCCTGGTAAACACCACCACAACAAATAACCTCCCTGAACCTGCTCATAAATAACATAGCTTCCGCTATTTTATAGTGGTTATAGAAGCTAACCATCCCACAGTAATGGCTTATAGATGTGTCCTTTGAACCAGCTTGAAGCTACCTAGACTTAACTGATGAATAATATGACTATATATATAGTATATCAGAATAGAAATTCTCTCTCGAAGGTGCAGTTTAAGCTAAATTTCTCTCTTGATGTTGTCAAGTCACCATTGATATATTGGAGCATCAAAAAGTAATGTTGAGTCCCAATAATTGATTTCATTGATCCTTAATTTAATCACTTCCATTTATCTGCTAAGTTCTATTTGAAATGACAGCCATCAGTCTAATGAGTTTATGATACCGAACATATATAATTCAGAATTTCTAAAAACAACTACAAACAAGCATGAGTTATGCTCTCTAAATCAGTGACCATAAAGTATAATTTTTTTGTTGTGACATGATCAAATTTGACTAAAATACCCTGGTTTCTTTCAAGAATTGATAATACATATTTGTTTTCTTTATCATTAAGATGATATAATATTTCATTTATTTATCCTTCCAACCTTAGTTGTCATTTATGTTTCCATAACTGTGCATATCGATCCGTATATATTATAATCTTCATAGAAGTATTAATAGTGATTCTTTAGCCCCCTACATAAAGCATTTTGTAAAGACAATCCCATCACTTATTACATCCTTATAACAAGTCCAATGATCAGCTTATAAAACTGTAAGATTAATCTTATAAATATCATTCCTTTTGGGAAAAGCATGCTCTTGATGCATGGTCCCCAAAGCTCTCCAATGCAAATAAATATGTGTGTCTGTGTGCGTTAAGGGTCGTAATCGTAATCATATTTTAATTCATAGAAACATCAGCATTATTTTGGTATAAAGTTAAGACTATTGCACCATCTTATGTGTCTTTTTCCCATAGAAAATGCTTGGATCCCCTCCATACAAAGTTTGTTAAATTCTCGTTCCATGTAAAGAAGGTTTTTAATGACTAAATGGGAAAGTTCTCTAGAAGCTTGGTTTGATGCTTGAGTGAGAATGCACTGTGAGTATTTCTTAGGTTGGTTTTGATTCTAATTGCATCTACAATGAATAGAACCACACTGCAAAATCACTTTTGTACTCGGTTTCTTTTTTCCCTTAAGTACAAAGTATATATTCCAAGCTAGGGCTGTGTCATTTAGAGGTATCAATCTTTTCCTTTTGGTTAGTGTGAATGTCTCTTTAGCATAATACGTTGGGCATGAGGACTTGTGGAATTTTTCTTCTTAAAGTCGCAATCATCTACAAATCACAAGATGCCCACCCATTCAAATCTTTTTGCCCCAAACTATAAAATATTCATCTCAAAGGGCTTAGCTTCTTCTTTATGGTAACACAATCATTCACTTTAATGTCTTAACTTTGATAAAATTTAAATGCTGCAATTAGAGAAAGTTAAAAAAAGCCACAAAGATAGTATTATAATGTCATGTGTAGTTCTTAATATCTTTAGCAGTTCCTATCTTGTTAAAGGTGGGTGCATGGAGGAAATCATGCTCTCATCTCAACTTAGAAAGAAAAAACTATGATGGTGTGACGTCCCACATCGCTTATGGGGAGAAGTTGCTAACACTTATAGGTGTAGATCGACATCTTCCAACTGGGTAGACGCGTTTTGAAAATCATGAACACGAAGGGTGTGCAAAGCAGACTATGCAAATTCAATTTTCTCAATGTCATACACACACCCCCACACACACTTGTACTCAAAAATACAAGCTCAAGTTGTGGCCTTATGGGGTGTGCTGGAAGGTCTCTTCTTTGTATTTTATTTCCTGGTCTCTAAATAGAGAGATTGGAGACACATATAAATCAAGTTCATAACGAAGAAGAAAAACTTGAAATCTTAGTCTTTGCATCCAAATACAAACAGATTGCAACCCATTTCAAGGCGGCAAAGAGGCAGAAAATAGGGAGAAAAGCAGCTTCGAAGTTCATAATCAACAACTAGCAACCAAAATTAAATTGAACACAAAAGAGAAAAGCAATAAAATAGTAAACAAGAAGACAAAATGTAAACCCCTAGACATTTTAAATTCACCGACAAGATTAAATAATTATTCATTGATATTAGAACAAAAAAGCTGATACTAGCCCCCCTTATTCAACTTTCTCTTCCTTTCTTGTTCAATTATATCAATTAACTACAACAACATTGATAATGCAGATTGAATCAAACATATATATACTTTTTAGAGAGAGAATCAAATTGAACTGATGTTCTCGAAGATTTTGGTTATGAGAAGTACCGCGTACCGGAGATAAAAGGACCAAGGGGATTAGGGAATGAAGAAGGAGAAGCTGTACAAGTTGTAGCTGCTGCAGTAGTAGTAGTGAAATTAGGTTGCTGCAAGCCACCGGAGGAGCTCTCACCGCCTGTGTATCGACTATCGGGGCCTTGATCATACAGAACTCCCTTAAAAACATGCCCTCCAATGTTCACAGCCGTCTGATACGCATACTGATCAACCGCATTGTCATCAGAGCTCACACGAATGCACCGAAACACCGCCGGAAAATTCACCTCCGCCGGGAAACTCCCCACTTGCAACCCTAAAAATGTTCAGAAATATATTACATATATTATCACAATTGAGCTGATTTTTTTTTTTTTTTCTTTCTTTGAACTAAATTAAATAAATTAATAAAACCAAAATTCAAATAGAAACATGGGTACTTTCGTTTCTATTGGAAGTAAATCAACAATAGTAAACATAAATAGAAAGATGGGTAGTAAAATCACCAGCTAACACAGTACCAAACAAAAAGCTGCAAGAGTTAGATGGTTACTACCATTTAAGTACACTACTGTAGACATCAAATCCACTAAACGCAAATGATATGGTTTTTGATATGTTAGTACAAAAAAAAAGGTGAGTTAGCTACTCTATCTATCTATCTATCTATCTATAATTCCATATATATATGTGTGTACATGTACTGTGACATCTAAAGATCTATGCAGAGGTGCAATGTATAGTACTATATATTAATTAGTAGTACCTGGTGCTGAGGAGGGATTGATCTCTCTGTATCTTTTAGGGTTTGGTGGTTGAACGAGTTGGTGTTGTTGAATACTATGATATCTTGGGCGCCTTTTCGAGACGGGGATCCAAGTGCTCTTGATGTGGGTTAGGCACTGAAACCCTCGGCTTCTACAGCAAGTCCTGCACCTCATGAACACACAGTCCTTCTTCGCTTGGTTTCCACACTCTTGACATCTCATCATTGATCCTCCTCCCCCTCCTCCTCCTAATTCTGATGATGATCTCATCATTTTCCAACCAAACCCTCTATACATAATTTCTTGATATCATGATTTGATTTCTTTCTGAGATGAGTTTTCGAATGAATGAGTATATATGTAGTGCTGGGGTTAGTTCTGGGTGGGTTTGCCGTCACTGCTAGTAGTGAGTTTTTTGGGGTTTGAGTATGACTGGTGTGTGTTTTTGCTAAAATTAGGAACGTTTGGTGGTTGCTTTCTTGATGATGATCTTGATTTTTCTTCTTCATCTCTGTGAATTACTGACTCACCACTATATGTTGGGGTTGGGGATTTCAAGCTTTTTCAGACACTACCTTTACATCACCAGGAATTAGTATAAACAAGTATTTTAAATGTGTACGGACATGTACTGTGCTCGATGATGGTGGTTGCCCTTAATTTCACCGTTTTACGCAACCCCACTCTCTCTCTCTCTCTCACGGTAAGTCACTAACTAAAATGGTACCTTAGAGCAGGTAAGAAGTACTAAACATGAGTTAATTGTAGTTAATTAACTACAATTAACTATTTCTTTTGTTTTTTTTTTTTTTTTTTTTTTTTCTATTACTTTTGATCTCCTTCCAAACTCTCAACTTTTCAAGACCAAAAAAATAAAATAAAAAAAAATCCATCGACTTTTTCTTTACGATAAAGACCATTATGTATTTAATACTTTAATCTCATTTAAAATTTGAGGCTTTTACTTAACTACATATACAATGTTCAAGATGCACTGCACTAGTCGTCGTAGCCGTCCATGCCGATGTGTGTATAACACGAACGGATGTAATGTGCCTGATTTACAGAACACACCGAATACCAACTCATCCCTAATGCTGCATTTGGTGTGCTTAAATGAAATGAAATGTAAGTGGAAATGGAATTAAATGGTCATTCTCATTTTATTGTTTGATTGTAAATATGAAATGTGTAAGAATTGAATGATAATAACTATTCTAGTGTTTAGTTTGACCAATTTAAAATTTAGAATGAAATAAATTTCAAATTAAATTCTCCAAAATATTCCTAACAAATAAATTAAATTAAAAAAATGAAATTTTTTTAAAAAATTAAAAAATAAATGATGGCAGTGGCAGGTGTGGTGATGATGGTGATGGAGGTCGAAAACGATAGTGGTGTTGGAAAGTGGCGGTGGTGGCAATGGTGGAAGACGGCGACGGCAGTGATGGTGGAAGGCGACAATGGTGTTGGTGGAAGGCAGTGGTAGTAGTGTGGTGGAGGTGGTGGAAGCAGATAGTGGGGAAGGTGGCGGTGGTGGAAGTTAATGAAGGTGACTGTGATGGTGGCAAAAGGCAATGGAGGTCGCAGTGGTGATGGTGGTGGAAGCCAATGGAGGTGGCGATGGCAATGGTAGAAGCCAATTGAGGTGACTATTATGGTGGTGGAAGGCAATGGAGGTCACGGTGGCGGTGGCGGTGGCGGTGACGGTGGCGATGGTGGAAGGTGGTGGTGGTGATGGAAGGAGGTGGAAGGCGATGACGATGGTGGTGGTGGAAAGCGGCAGTGGATGGCAGTGGCGGTGGTGGTGGAAGGCGGTAGTGGCGACAGTGGTAGTAGCGGTAGAAGGCAGTGGCAATGGTGAAATGCGGTGGTGAAAGGTGGTAGTGGTGATGAAAGGCGGTGCCGGTGGAAGGCGATAGCGGTGGTGGTGGTGGTGGTGAAAGGCAATGGCGGTGGTGGAAAGTGGTGGGTAATGGTGGCAGTGGTGGTGAAAGGCGGAGGTGGTTGTGGTAGTGGATTAACCAAATTGATTTTTTTTTTTTTTTTGTTACTTTTGATCTCCTTCCAAACTCTCAACTTTTCAAGACCAAAAAAAAAAATCCATCGACTTTTTCTTCATGGTAAAGACCATTATGTGTTTAATACTTTAATCTTCTTTAAAATTTGGGGCTTATACTTAACTAAATATACAACGTTCGGCACTAGACGTCGTAGCCGTCTATGCCAGTACATGTACAACACAGATGGCTGTGATGTGCCTGGTGCACAGAACACACCGAATACCAACTCATCCCTAATGCTGCGTTTGGTATGCATGAATGAAATGGAATGCAAGTGGGAATGAGAATGAAAATGGAATGGAATGGTCATTCTCATTCTATTGTTTAGTTGTAAATATGAAATGTGTAGGATTTGAATAATAATAATCATTCTAGTGTTTGGTTAGACCAATTTAAAATTTAGAATATAATAAATTTTAAATTAAATTTTCCAAAATATCCCTCTTAGTAACAAATAAATTAAATTAACAAAATGAAATTTTTTTAAAAAATTTAAAAATAAATGTTGGCAGTGGCGAGTGTGGTGATGGTGGTGGTGGAGGAGGAAAGCGGTAGTGGTGTTGGAAAGCAGCGATGGTGGCAATGGTGGAAGACGGCAGCGGTGGTGGCAGTAGTGTGGTGGAAGTGGTGGAAGGAGATAATGGTGAATGTGGCGGTGGTGGAAGCCAATGCAGGTGACTGTGGTGGTGGCAGAAGGCAATGGAGGTCGCGGTGATGGTGGCGGCGGTGGTGGTGGAAGCCAATGGAGGTGGAGGTAGTGGTAGCGGTGGTGGAAGCCAATAGAGGTGACTATGGTGGTGGTGGAAGGCAATAGAGGTCGCAGTGGCGGTGGTGGAAGCTAGTGGTGGTGATGGAAGGCAATAGCGATGGTGGTGGTGGAAGGCGGTGACGGTGGCAGTGGTGGTGGAAGGCGGTGGTGGCGACAGTGATAGTAGCGATGGAAGGCAGTGGCAGTGGTGAAAGGCAGCGGTGGAAAATAGTAGTGGTGATGAAAGGCGGTGGCGGTGGAAGGCGGTGGCGGTGATGAAAAGCGATGGAGGTAGTGGTGGTGGTGTCGGTGGTGAAAGGCGGAGGTGTTTGTGGTAGAAGGTCATTGTTGTTTTTGGACTTGGAACACAAGGATTTTTATGGAAGTTAATTTAAAAAAAAAAATTTACTTGGGAACGGAATGGCCATTTCATAGGTTTAGTTGTGGAATGGATATTCTAATCTTGCACACCAAACGCAACATAATAATTTATTCCTTATACATCTATTGACATTTCATGGTATAAAATATAATATATTATTACAGTATAATAATATTAATGACTTTTCAAACTCAAATTTTTTTTTTTTGGCTATCCACGAAGGTGCTTAAGAGAAGTCAAAAAAATAAAAAAAATAAAAAAATAAAAAGACCTGAATGACCTACTCGCATGAAATTTAATCAAACTTTAAAGGAGGTTAGTGTTATTCAAACTTCTCTTTAACCGAATACTCGTAACATTTGTAAGTTGCCTTTCACTGTGTATAAGAAAATATTATGTCATTTTACTAATGTAACTTAGTTTCTCAAAAATGAAATTATGTTGATTGAAGGAAAGAATCAATTGACATGATATGTTATTACCATCAAGAGAATGCAAGCAAGAGTGCTCATCTTAGATTAACATCATTAATTTTTGGTTGGAGTACAAACAGACAACTAAGATTCAGTCGTGAAATAAACAATTAGAATTTGTCAAAAAAAATTGAGTTAAATTGAGTTTATATAACCACTACTAAATTTCTTGACTTGGTCCAAACACAAATACATCTCACAAATAATCTATAATTATAAAATTTGTGATAAATAATGAAATAAGAGAAGGTGACTAAATTTATTTATAAAAAAAAAAGAAGAAGAAGATTATTATTCTTATTTATTACTTTTAAAATTTTGTAATTACCAATTATTTGTGATTAGTGATTACACCACATCAAATGTTAGTAGGAATGAGCTACTCAAATCGAAATAGGCAAATCTTATCTTTAATATTTTATACATTTATATATAAATTGTGGAATAATGCATGCCTTAGGCAACATAAGAAGGAACTTCCTTCTTATGATGAGATGGCTCAATAAAATATCAACAAGTGTTAAAGTTTTAAAAAGAAAAAAAATTATGACTACAAATAGTAGAAACTAATCCTTCCTCTTTCTGTCTCACGCAATTATATATATTACTTCTATATTTTGAATCTAAAACAAAGCATTATTCTGGAGAAAATATATATACACACACCACATAAATAGTGGGCCAGGTGGGGGAATGACCCTAGGTATACATTGGCTCGCATGATGATGTTCCCTCTCAAATACAGAATTACATATTATATATAATGTATGAACGATAAATTATACCAAATTAAATAACCTTGTCAATAGAAAAATCCAATAGATCTATTTTTATTGTTTTTATTTGGTGATAATCATCTTTAAACAATTAAATTTGGATGAGACGTCTGTAATTAGATACAAAAGAAAAGTAGATGAATATGGAATGTTTTGTAATTTAGAAGAGATTGGGATGAAAAAAGAAAAGAAAAGAAAAAGAAAAAGAAAGGGAGATGAACATAAAAAGTTTTAAAATGTAAGGAAATTTTTAATTTCAATATCAAAGAAAAAACCTAAAAAACAGAAATACTCACAATTGGTATCATGAAAATGAATTCATAATATATATCATTTTTCATGAATTTATAATAATTATTTATCTCAACTCCCATATTGACTGAAATATGCCATTACATGTGGTCATTATTTTTTTTTTTCTTTTAAAACTTAAATATATGTTGATATTTTATTGGGTTATCTAATCGTAAAAAAAAAAAATTCCTTCTAAGTCAAACACGGTTCTAAATTGTGATACAGACTAATGTTGACTTGTTGACCCCAATATGCATAAAGAGAGACTTGTATGGATTCACAGAGTGATAGACAGATTTGTTTGCTGTCAAGAGGTTGGAGGTGGAGTAGTACCCAACTGGAGGTGCAGTGCAGTGCAGTGCATCAACCATTGGGCAAATCAACTTTGCAAAGCCAGACTTGACAGCCTTTTGCTTAATATTCGTCCTAGGCCCTGAAAACCCGAGACTTTTATGACCCTTCCTTTAAGGGAATGACTGAGAACTTCTTCGCAATGCTAACATTTTTGGAATGACTTTTAAATTCTTTTTTTCAGTTTCATTTTTAATTTTACATATATGTACTTAAATTATTATTATTATTTTTTGAAAGGTAATTAATTTTAAAACAAGTTATATTGAATGAAGATTGGTGACAGTAATTACTTACAGCCAAATGGATGGACCCTCCCTCTCTTCAACCCCTTCCGTGAAAATTTTTCACAATTTTCTTCTCTTCTCAATTTTTATTTATTTCTTTATTTCTTTTACTCTAAATTCACTATATGTTTTTATGCATGGGAGAATGAAAATAAGTTAATTCCTTTGTAAACACACAATTGTATATAGTCCATTCTTGACTTTTGAATCGAAAACACTTCTATGCTAAGAAAGTATTCACACTTCTACAAAGAAACTATTATCTGTAGTGTCCGTGCACTCTTTGCACACTACTATTTTTACAAATAAAAATTAAATTTTATTATTTTAGGCACTTATTCACCGCTAACACTTTCCAAACATTTAGCCGGACACTTGTAACACAATCTACCATGTAACCTTAAAAATAAAATAAACACATTTTAAAGTGTCCAATAAACACATATGAAAAATGGTTTATAATTATATCTAATTGTGTCATACGTTGACTATTTATTTAAAATTTAAAAAATCTTAATACCCTCGTCATTAGAAAAATATGGCCCACCTACTTTTGTCTAAATTTGGAATGGTAAATAATTTTTTTTTATTTATTAACTCGGAATGTCCGAGATGACACGAACCCTTAGAACTCCTCAACGACTCGACTAATCCTCGAAGACTCAGAAGGACGCCTCCTCACTCAAATAGAGTAAGTCACTACAAAAACAGCAAAGTCTAGTCACAAAGAACACCCAACAGGTCTCGAAACTCAACCACTGGATCATAAGCTAAGGAATGGTAAATAGTTGCTAACACAATATATAGACAAATATATGTGTATGTGTGTGTGTGTCTGTCTTATCACTCTTGTGTATATCAAGAAATATTACACAATCAATCAATTATTGCTGTCTAACACTTTTTCTTTGTCAATCACGTGCAAAAAAAACTTGATTGCCCGTTAATTTTTTATTTAAAATAAGAAAAAAAAGTTTGGAATTGAAAAGAGAAAACTACCACGTGCCCACGTGGTTAAAATTAATTTGATTATATTAAGACATAGCCCATTAATTAATTATGGGAATATTGATGCAGGAAAACAGGGAATGCACGTCTTATGTGCTATGGTGAGAGAATAACATTCTGCTATCTTAGAATTGATTTTGTAGATATTATACATCTGGATGTATAAGATGAACCTAAAGCTAATTTGGTTTGTTTTAGTGCCAAAAATGGATGGTTATATGAAGCTTAAACAATGATTATCATAATCTTTATCGCTAATAAGAATTTTTATGTAAAATATTTAAACACGAAAAAGGCACAAGTGAAGCAACTTCATTTAACCTTTATACTTTTCCTTTTCCTTTCCCTTTCTAAATCCAAGGAATTCTTTACACTAATTGCTCACTGATTTTAATTTTAAGCCTTCTAAGTTGTAACAAGAGGGTATGTCAAAAACAAACAGCCAGGCTCTATGGGTTTCTAAATATAGAGGGAAGGGAAAAGCAAAGGAAAGGAAAAGAGAGAAGAAATAGAAAAGCACAATAAAAGCCAGAGTCCTCCTCCTATACCTACTATAATATATTTCCATTCCCCCCCTCCACCATTTTCCCAACTTCTCCCACACTTGCATAATAATTCAATTTCTTCATAGTTAAACTGTATGTCCAACAAAGCTTCTAATTTTCTTATCGGATACACCTGCTTAATCATATGATCCGACTTTCATGATTACTGATAGTCAAAAATTAGAGTCAACGTATTATCGTGACCAATCCTATACAGACAATTGATTGCTATAAAATCCGGTCAATGTGCCATACACATACATATTCATATAATTGTTCATATCAGATACATTTGTTATACATTTCATATTTGATGATGACACGCAAGGCACTGAGTACATTTCACGGAGAGGAATGAAAATCATATTGCGTGCGTGCGTGCGTGCGTGCGTGTGTGAGAGAGAGAGAGATTTCTCCTCGGCACTTCAGGCCTTGCTGGGGCAAAATAAGAGAAAGCACTTCAACTTATGATAAAAATAAAAAATAAAAATAAAAATAAAAACTCTTTTACTTGCTACAAATAAAAAATAAAACTAAGAAAAGGATCACGACAACAATCTAACCGTGAGCTCATCTACTCACATCCTTAGTCATTGAATCAACATTCCATCAAGAAACCCATACATCCTTTCAATCCAACAGCGAATTGTACCCTTGTAATAACTTTTTCCAAATAATTTAACTGTCATGTGAATTTAAAACTAAAATTTGTTTAATGTCGTATCTTTAAAGACCATTATAAGAACTCAAGCTAAAGATCAAACTACAAAGGAGTGAGAATGCGATAATAAAATGCAGGGTGCAATCTGCCAAGTGTTTTCAACTGTGGCCTAAAATTTATTTCCTTTCCCTATTCTGTTCTGTTCATATATATATTCAATCAAAAATAGCATTCTCTCCTCCCCCAAATGTCAAAATTACCAGGAGTAACTACTTTTCCACATCTACCCCATTTCATATACAGTCCAAACAATCCTCTACCTGCTAATTTTTCTTGATTGAAAACTAAAAATGAGACTTCTACAACGGGATTTCCAGCATTCCAGAAGCATTAATGTAATATTTTTCACGATTTTAGTTTATTTATATCACATATTACTTGTCATTAACATTTTCCAATCACAAATAATAAAAATAAATTAAAACCACATTTCAACAATGCATGATGATACACAATGCAAATGATTTGACCTTGCCACCGCCGCTGCCGCCACCACCCAATACATCTAATATTCCTGTCAGCTACTAAAGGTCTTCATAAGTAACCATATTTTTCAAGCAAACAAAAAACTCATCATGGTTACAAGTCAACTGAACATTTGTTCGAGCAATCCAGGTTGAGGAGCAACTTCCATCTAATTCCCACCTGAGTGTTCAGACAGAATTGAACCTAATGACCAATTAATTTCGACCTAAATGCAATCCAAATCACATATCCAATAATTTTACTTGAGTAATAAGAATATTACTAATGCATGTTATATGTGCACTCCGTTTTTCTATTCATGCACTCAACTTGATTTTTTTAATATAAAAATAATAATAATAATAATGATAATAATAATAATAGATATCATTACCCTCTCAAAAGTGGAGCAAAAGTAAACTAAAATAACTCTCAAGTGTAAGATACTTTTAAAGGACAATTATAACATTTGTTTTCTCTGGAAAAAAACAAAAACAAGGCAGGTGGAGTGAAAAGGACAAATGCATAGTGGAAATATGGTTAATATTAATAACAAACACCTCAACAGCAGGCAACAACAATTATATCATAGTAGTAGTATGTAAAAGTTTGATGATTCTCAACTGGAAATTTCCTGTACAAGGTTTGCTAGCATGTAAAATGTTTATACTAGTACCTTCACTAGCAGAGGACAACAAAAGAGACATATAATTCACAGCAACAAAGGATATCCCAAACCATTTTGGATGTAATAAAGATTGCAAAAGAATTCAAAGCAAAAATAAAAATTGAAAATTTTCAATTATCTAAACATAAAAGTAAGGAAGGTAACAGATCTGTCATTACTGCTAAGTGCTAACCAATAGAAACCCCAAATTCATCTTGGCAATAAAAGCAAATATGCTACACAGCATCAGCATATGCCAACATATACGCGTCTTACCTATGACCAACATCTACTTAATAATAATCCTTGGCCACTCTTGTATGTGGACAACTAATAAGAATACTCCGACTCAAAATTCTCAAGTTGCTTATTAAATTGAAAATCATACTCAACTAGATTAATGGGAAAAGAAAGGATAAGAGAAAAAGAGGAGGGGATAAGAGGGAGAGAGGGTGCACAAACAATTCAACCGAGATGTAACTCTTATACAATATTCTTACCTTTGCCTGCAGAGATGAAAGTATCAATATGAACAGTCCCACTGCCAATAGGATGAGTACAAAAATCTTCCATTCAGCAGCTTGATCATCTTATCTGAGAAGGAGAACAGAGCAATCCTGAAGCATCTGCACCAACTTCTGCAAGATCACAAACAGCACAGAGCTGCCCTTCCTGACTTGGCACAAACCGGGAACTGCAGTATGGGCAGGAGACATCTTTCTGTCCTCTGTAAATGGGAACATATGTTGCCCCACAAACCACAAATGGATTTCTGAAATCATAGTTCAGCTGAGACGAATCATTCATATTCTTCTCAGAAGCCTGCAGCACTTGTCGGGCCATCTTTGCTTGGTCCTCGGTGGGATTGGCCTCTAGGAGCCTCCTAGCAAAATTAGCTGCTGTAAGATAATTCTTTGCCCTAAAGCAAACAACCATCGCACTTCGCAGTGCTTGTCTCAAGTGAGGTGCTTGAAGGTTGCAGTGGGTGAAATAGGCTGCAAGCTCCTGTTGGCGTATGGGATTGTCATTGGTTTCCTTCCTCTTGAGCTCCAATTGCAGACCCAGAACATATTCTTTCACTATTATTATCAACTCCTTAACTTCATCAACATTCCTCCTTGACTCAACCACAATGAGAGGAATTGTATGGAGGATACTGAGAAAAAATCGAAGAGCTTCGGTGAATTTCCCAGCTGTCGTGGCCTTGTAACCAGCCCTAAGTTTCTCATCCAACCGAGAGAAATCAAACACAAGTGCTGGTGGACCCCTCATGTTAGGCCTAGCAGACTCCTCCCAACCCCGTTCGATTGCCAATGATAACACAGAAGCAGATGAAAATGCACGTAGATAGGAATGGCTGCCTGTATGAAGATCAAGAAACATAGGTCTCAAAGGAGCAAAGTTTCTAATTCCCAGCTGCCTGCTAAGCAACCGCATTGCAGTGTCGAAATTGCCAGCAGCCGCATGTTCGGCAGCAAGAGAAGACCTCTGGGTCCAAATTTGACTTACAGGCATGCCAGGAGTTGGAGCCACAAAAACTGTGGAGTGTGCATTGACAGAGGCCCTTGGAGTCTCGGCCTCAGGAGGAAGCCCCAAATCCTCAAGATCCCATCCTCCTTCTTCCTCGTTTTCTTCAGGCACTTCCCCATCCTCCAGAACTGCTTCTATATCACCATTCTGTAAGCCATCCACATTAACCATATCCAGTTCTTCACCCCAATCAGCATCTGCAGCCTCTTCATCTTCTTCAGGGGCGCCCCTCCCAATGTTATCCAACCCACCCTCAAATATGCCTCTCATGACTCTCAAAAGGGGCCAATCTCCACCAGACAAAATGGGGGGTGGTGGCATCAGAAGCGAAGGTACTTTCCCCTCTGGCAACGTAGGAACATTATCTCCCAACTCTGCTGCTAGTCCCTCAGCAACATCCTGAAGCCCATGGACCGAAGCAGTGATGTAAGCAAGAGGCAAATGCCCAGCTTTCTCCAAAATCTTAACACGCTCACGAACATCGCCCAGATAAAGAGCATTATGAAACTGACCCATAACATCATTCTTTACTTCTGCAATTTTAAGCATTTTGGACAGTTTTTCCATATTCCCGGTAATGAGATAAAGGAAAGATAACCTCTCAAAATTCTTCGTTTTCTGATAGGTGTACTCTACAATACCAGCATTACCCTGGCGAAGAGCCTCCACCCCCAGTCTATACCAATGATCCTTCTCATCAATTTCCTTAGCTGAAGCAACAGCAATTTGGATGTTCCCACTCTCCAGTGCCAGATTGAAACGAGTTCTTTCATCTTTAACAAAATGAAGAGCAACTTCAGGGAATCCCTTCTGCTGCAAATAAGCAATCATTGCCTGCCCACAGAGCTGCGAACTTCTTATCATGCTCATAACATGGTCATATTTCTTCTTCATTAAAGATAGCTTGAAAATATATTCCGTTGCATCAATAACTATAACCTGATTCTTTCCATCCCGGTCCAAGCAAAAGATCTTATTTCCTAAAACCTTAGTAATGTATATTGGAACATCAAGGGTCCTTACTATCCCATTATCCCCGTTGGGAAGGCAGTATTTGATGTGATTCAGGGTTGTGTAAATGAAAATCCCATTGTCATCCCAGGCTCCGCTCTTCACACGAATTGTCTCGTGAAGTGTACACTGGTGCACAAGCCTTTTACTAGCAATAACTATAGTGTGCTTACTGAGCAAGGCAACACTCTCCATGTCATTTGACCAAACTATATACTTAACAAACGGGGTTTGAAGCTCACCAAGAACAATTCTCTGCTGAAGGTCAAATATGACAACTCTATCCTCTGTCCTGCAAAGCAAATTACCTGTTCCAGCATAGAATATTGCATCGGCAGCAATAGGGAGGTTGCTCTTCTTAACAATCTCATTCTTAAGGTTCTTGACCGATACTAGGTTGTTGCTTTTGTCAAGCACAGCAAATCTATTTCGAGCCACGAAGACAGCTGATCCTCCTAAACCTCTTTTTGGCTCTTGCATAATATCACCCCTACCAAAGCTATCTTTAGGAACAACATAGAGCTCGTAAGATCCACCATCAATATCAGAACAGACGAGAACAGCATTTTCTGTAGGACTATACGAGAGAGTGCGTGGGCCTTGATTTAGGCTGGTAGAGCCAGGGCGTCGAATTGGCATCACTTGTGTGTCTCTCTGATTTGAAAATTCAAAAAATCTCAGAAAGCGGTCTTTGGCATAGAACATAGAATCACCAAACACTGAGAAGGCAGGCCTTTCTCTCTCCAACTTAAACACAATCATACCACTATCATGACCAGCAGCTAGGAGATTCATCTCAGGGTGACATGCTAGAATCCAAAACCGATCATGCTCTCGGCGGAAAGTTTGAACACCAGTCCGCTTTGTTACATCCCAAACACGAATGCTCTTGTCCTCCGAGTTGGAAACAATTATATCTTGTTTGGCGTGGAACATAACACAAGACACATTATTCATGTGCCCTCTCAAAGTGTCTACTTCCCAAGCTTTCGTGTCTGGAAAAAAGAGTAGCACATATAAAAAGGTGGTCATTCCAAGAAGTTTAAAATCACTATACAACCATGTACCAATGTTCCATTTTTGGGCTTCCGGACGGGGTTGGAAGCCAGGTCCAACAAATGTCAAGCCAAGTGGCAAATGTACCAATCTCACAAAAAACAATATTTTGAGTAACTTTTTGAATTTTGACTAGTTCTTTAGTTTATCATACATCAGAAGATTAATTAATAACTTGCTTGAGAATAATTATAGACACCAAAAGAGCACCTAAAATCTACTTAATGAACTAGCAGAACAAGAAGAAAATAAAACACAGTTGTCCAACAACTTACCATTCATGCGCCAAAGCTTTACTTGACGATCATCTGCTCCTGAAACAATCAGTGGCAAGGTGGGGTGAAATGTAGCCCAATTAACACCCCGGTCATGACCTTCCAAGACATACTTAACAACAGCATCAACCCCACCAAAAAAATCCGTGTTCATCTGACTCAATCGCAAAATGTCATCAGCAGGGGACACGGTCTTTTTCCTCAGGGCACCAATATCCCAAACACGAACTGTCTGATCCAGTGAGGCTGAGACAACAAGGTCTTCTTTAGGGTGGAATGAAGCACACATTACATAATGATTGTGGCCAGTCAAAACAGAAATACAAGTACGTGACTGCCAATTCCAGATTCTTATGGTCTGGTCATCACTCGCACTCACAATCCAAGGATAATCATGGTGAAACTGCACAGTACGGATGTAATCAAGGTGTCCAAGAAGAGTAAACAGACACCTATGCAACTTGTAGTTCCAAACCTTGATCTTGTAATCATCTCCTGCATAAGCCAAAATTAAGAAGATGCTTATTGCCACCAAAACTGTTGATCTTAGTAACGCATGCATCATATTATACCACAAATATGAACTAAAAGTTTCAAACATGTACAATATTCTATCTTTCAGTTGATTAAGAATAACTAACACATTTAACCCCAAAAATGGCGGGACGTAGGATAAATTGTCTTGATTCAACCAGGAATCTTATTGAAATAATAAGAGAAATCTTAGTGGCACATATATTGCCACCAGAATCCAACATAGAAATAACAGATGCATCGTACTAAGGTCTTGAGTAGTTTCAGGATATAATATTCAAATTTTATATTACATTTTAATGTCGTGCCAATTCAAAAACTCTTGATATTGAACCCAGTTTTATACAGAATGTTCAATAAATTGTTCAACCAGGACTATCTTTGACATAACATCAGCAATTTAAAAAGACTATTTTAATCAAAGGGGTCTGAATCACAGCCCAACTAATATATGATTGCCACTACTGTATGATTGCTTGGAAAATCCATAGAGAAATTCCGCAACATAGATCTATGGAAGGTTAACATGTGAACTAAAGAACACATATTGATATTCTTAACATATCAATATTCTTAACATAAAAGAGTAATTCTACCTGACCCACCATAACTGTTATATGCAGAACAGTCTAAAAACCAATATGGCAGATTGCCATATAGGTACTAAAACTAAATTCAAATTGAATGCCATAATTCAGTACCTCCGGACACGAATAGCGGCTGAGATTTGTGAAAATGAACGCCACGAACAGGCCCATCATGCTCATCGAACCTGTCGATGAGAGTCCCCATCCGGTAATCCCATAACTGGATCACACCACTGTGAAGACTCGCAAGGATCCACGGTCTCTTGCTGTGGAAACTCAGTCCCTTCACTCTATTACTCTTCGTCTCGAATTTTGTCAACATTTTCTTCAATCAAACAACAATACTCCAAGCTCTGTATACCATCAATACTTGATCAAACTCTACATGATGCCCCACAAAACGACACCATTCATGAAAAAAAAACGTTCAAACCAGATCAAAACATATGCGAATTTCAATTCACAATAAAGCCCAAGCAATGGTCTTAAACAAGAACCAAATCAAAACCTAATTAATTGAATTTGTAACAGATCTACGAGGATCAATTGTTTACATTTGAATAAAAGATTTAACGAATGAAATAAACTACTCACCTCAGATCTAATAGGATAGTGATGGATCAGATTGGAATACACAAGTGCATATGCAAAGCAGCAACAGCTGTAGATAGAGAGAATTACAGAGAGAGAGATTTGCAGACTGGTAGATCGGGGGAGGAGAGAGAAAGATTGTGCGTTTAGTTCTCTGGCAGATCTCGCTTTATGAGTGTCTGCGATTTATTTTAGAGAGAGAAAATGGAGAGAGTCTGGAGGTGGAGAGAGAGGGAGGAAGGTTGGGTCGCGAATTGAAATGGAAATGAAATGGTTTGGTTGCAAGTCGCTCTGTGACAGTGTGTGTTATAGTACGTAGTGACTATACTTTTACGGTGTGCTTGAATTCACAATGTCCGTTTGATTGAAACTAAACCATCTTTCGGAAGCGTCATTTTCCTAACCATCACAAGGCTTCCAACTTACGCAAGATTAACGTGTAGATCTGTAAGATTTTTTTTCCTTTTTTTTTCGGTAATGAAGATATCTTGATAGTTGACACCAATTGTGACTTGCATATGTTTTTTTCTTTTCTTGTTTTTTTGTTACTATTGAATTGAATACAGATAATTAATTTTTACAAAATAATTTTTATTAATCTAATTTGTCTAAATTTCATTTAAGACAAATTAAACTCAAAGTAAAAAATAAAATGTCTTGTAACTCAATGATATCAATTCATTTTTTAAAATGGATAGTAAGGATTTAAGTGTGTCTGAGTTTTTTATCAATGAATAAAAAGTAACCAAATACAAGTAAGTGGAGGCTTCACTTTCTTATTTGTTGCATAATTGACCAAATAAAAAAGTTAGTTTAGCGATTCACTATAACTATTGGGTTCAAGAATCATTTTTCATAAATAAATATAACACCGAACCCTGCAGTGAATTGCCGAATAAATTTTAATTGACTATTTATACCAAATATAATTAAGTAGAGGGCTCCACTTTCTTATTTCACTTTCTTATTTGTTATATAATTAATCAATTAATAAAGTAGTTCTAGCAATTTATTGTAACTATTCCGTACAAGAATCATTTTTCATATATATATATATATATATATATATATATAAAGTAAAAATGAAATATTATATTTAACTCTTGTATCGTTTGACTTTACTCTGATTACCATTATTTAAATAAAAAAGAATGATATTTTTCACCTATTATGAACTTACAATCTACCTATTTTCCTTGAAGAAATTGAGCTAATTAACATTCAAAAACACTCTCAATCTACAATTATTTTGAGAAGGAAAAAAAAAAAAAAAAAAACAATAAGCTCTTAGCATCATGGTAGATAAGAAAAAGGGAATAGTGTTGGAAGAGTTGACTCAATTACCATTTTACTTTATTTTAAATTGAAGAAAGGGAACAACGGTTTCAAATAAAGGTTGAGATTCAAGCCTAGTAGAGGTATATAGGAGCGTGTGAGCATTAGTTAAGAAGAAGAAAAAAATAAAAATAAAAATTGAAGAAAGAGAAAGGTTAACATTACAAATTATTATTGTATCACTCGATTTAGGTGGCCGTTTATTTGACAAGTTTATTTAAGCATAAAAAGAATTTTTCTCCAGGGAATTTATGATAAAAAAGAAACTCATTATAAAATTCAAATCTCAATAAAAACCTCTTTTATTAACTTGAATTTAATTCTTGTTATCTCTTGTAATTATTATTATTTTTTCCTCTTTATTGAAATGAAGACGCAAACTTAAAGCAAAATTCAGAGCAAAACTTCCATCTCAGCCAGTAGATTTCAACCATCTAATTCTTGTTGATTACAATATATATATATATATATATATATATATATATATATATATATATATCATTGGAGGACAGGAAGAATTGGACTTTACAGGTGAAGTGGAATAAATTCATCCCATTCATAAATTGATACACTATAATTGTATTTGAAGAAACCCTCTTCAATCTATGGTTATTTTAATCTTTCCATTCCAAAAGTTCTAAGATAATGTTAAAGTATATCTTGAGGTCGGTTAAAATAATGTAAAATATATATTGTCACGTATGATATGTAATTTTTTTTTTTTTAATTTGTAGCAATCTGTTAAGACACACGATCATATCACCAATGTGTAAAATTTATACAATTGTTTTTTATACTACCATATCAATATATTTCCTTTCTTCCCCCTCTTTCTCATTTCATTAACAAATCAACCATATATATATAATAAGTTTGTAAAAATAATGTAATATCCATGCATGACAATGATTGGTTATGCAAGACATAACATAGCTTGAGTTTTTATTTTTTTGGGTAAACATTGAGAAGATGTTATTTTATCCTTATTATAATATATTGATATTCATGATAAAATAACAATATTATCTATTTTCTTTTCTCTCCACTTAATAAAACAAAATGTTTGGAATATAATATTAAATATTTGCACATGTAAGAAGGAAAGAAAATTGGGGAGCAATTAATATTTGCCCATGTACCCAATACTGGGAACAGTAAGGTAGAGCCTGTGAACCAGCATTTCTAATACATATGGTACAATATTTTTACAGAAATGCTTTGCTTTAAGTAGGATGGAAAATGTGTGAAAAGAAAATAGAAAATAAAAATGATATTTACGAATTTTCTATCAATCAAAAAAATGAACTGAAGATACGAAAGAAGTTATAAGATTAAAAACTACAAAATGAGTTATTATAAAAGTTTTAAATTAAATACTATATTAAATTATACAAGTTTTAAATTATATATCATCCTCTATAAATTATAATATTATAAATATTATTAAATATAATGATAAAAATAATTTAAAACTTTATATTTCCTTCTCTTTTAAGGAACATAGTAAATTGTGAGCTTATATACTTATCTTCCATACAACCAAACAAAATGAAAAAAATACACCATCTCTTTCCTAAGGATATCTCCTGTAGCCATTCTCTCCCTTCCATCCAAAATTTTTCTTTCCTACCCAATGAAGGATTAGTTTGTTGGAAGTCATGATTGAGACAAGGGTAAAAGAAACATCTCTTGTTTGGTTGGAAGGAAAGGAAGAGAGATCCCTCAACTCAGTAGAAGAGAGAGAGGAGAGAGATGGAAAAACTCGTGTCACCTACCTATCTCCAATTTGACTGGCGTGACATTATGCTTCAAATATATGAGAACAGCTAAAAGGACAATAGACAGGGATCATCAGTCGGACTTTCTGTCATGTCCCTAAACAGCTAACATGGGAAAAAGTAAGTCGGTGCCTATTCAAGGACTCTGTCATGTCCCTATACATCTAACATGGGAGAAAGTAAGTCGGTGTCAATTCAAAGACAAAAAAGCAAGCATGAGGAACCAGTCCCAGTTGCAGAGATCATACAACACTTCAAAACATTTGCATGCTTGGATGATGGTCAGGAAGAGCAATAACTCAGACAGACACAAAGCAAACGAAAAATTAATTCAATAAGAGAAGAAAACCCAACAATGACTACAAAATCTCTGATGCAACCCAAAAAAATTTGTATCCCGGCGCAATTACGAGGTTGGCTGACTGCTGCATATACATTTTTGGTTGCGGAGTTGAATTCAAAATTAAGATATGAACTTCACTCTCTCCAGGGTGTCTGTTCTTCATTTTCAGATTATTGTGGTTTGCCCTGAAGTACTCGGACAATCTCCTCTGCTCTCGATTGAATTCCTTTCAGATATTCAGTAAGAACACGCTGCTGGTAAGAACCTCCTTCCTGATTCACAGAGAGAGAGAGATTAGGAAAACTGAAGTATTTGAAACAGAAACGGGCCTGACATCTAAGGGTGCATACCGTTCGGATCAAAGTTCGTTCAATTCGTTTCTTAATGACTGCATATAACTCCTCGTGTGAGATTTCCCCTTTACCAATAGTCATACCATTGATCAGCAACTTATTCCATTCTTCTTCTGGAGCTGCCAGCCAGTAGAACAATAAGACTTTGGAGAGTTGACTAACATGAATATAAAAATGGGAAAGAACAATTCTGGCAACAGTGGAGCAATGCCATAAGGAGGTCAGTCTCCCCATGATAGTTTGCTCCATGAATGCCGATGTAAGGATTATATTTTTCCAAGGGAACCAACAGTTTAAGAAATTATCCAATCAATTATACCATCACTTTCCTTTTTTCCATGGTCTAAAAGACTAAAATGCTTCAAAAGCTCAGCCTTAATGTTTCTGGAGGAAACAGTGATCATTTTATCACTTGATGCTGCAAAACCACATAAAGCACGGCATAGCATACGGCATTTCAGGTCATTTGAGGTTGCCTCGTTAGACACCCTGTATGCTTGCAAGACAAATGTACCCGTATTTTTAAACTTTCTTAAATAATTTTTGGACACCGATAGATCTGATTCTTTCTTGAAAAGGATTTAGTTATCCTACTCATCTTCAATCCATCCAAGAACATGCTCAGAGAATGGAAATCGTAAAATGTATGCCTGATGTTATTCTTTATGTAAATGTACAATTAAAACAAAATTTGCATTTTTGAAGCATTGTAGGAAAGCATATAGGAAATACCTTTGATTATGGTCTCAAGAAACTCTTCGGCCTTTAAAACCTCATTCCCTGTGCCAGGAAAGGAAAAAGAGAGATTAGGTTGTTAGGAGTACAAAGAATAGAACTTTGTTTGGATATAATGATATGGTAGGGTGGAAAAAAAAACAGCAATTTCCTTTCCCTTTCTTCCTTCCGCTCCCCCCCCCCCCCCCCCCACCCCTTGGTACTTTGACAGTTTGAATCTGCCACCTTACATAACAAAATAGGGATGTGGTTGATGGTGAATGGCCCATGTAGACCAGGTAGAAATTTGTAAGAAGGGCAATTGCCCTTGTTGGCAAGTTCCTCCCTTACACGCCATGATCCTTTTTCAATGGGGGAATGACCAACCCAAGGATGCTTGCAATGAATAATAGATGTTCATGACAGAAGCCTTCCTTGAGGTAAGGCACCAAAGATGTCATACTCCTCAATCATCTTAGAAGGCCCCCATTAAGCATTGTTCCTAATGCTTAATGCCCTGAGCATAGGGCTCATGAAGCGCTGCAAAATCTTCATAAAGCACTGTCGAATAACCACCACAGAACTTAGCAACACGTACCACAACAACTCAAGGCTTGTCTTCAAAACTAAGGTGGATGTGCACCCTTGGATGGTAGTATTATCTCATTGATCCTCATGTTGTGACATACCAATTCATAACTGACCGGCATTTTTGGCATTTTTACTGCAGAATAACATACTAGTGATGGATTATTACGGTGCTCTTTCTGCTTAACTACTCTGATATTTATATGTAGATGTATTTCTCTACTCGAAGCAATGATCCATGACAAAACCAAATATGTTAGTACAAGAAGTAAAAAGGAAAATTGAAATATGTATCTTTAAAGATTTGAAGAGTAATAAAATATCACATAAGCTGATACGAAGAAAATGAACCAAATTTAATTTAACATAAATGAGGACCCTTTCATGTACTGATTTTAATCTGAAAGACTGAAATGAGATATATTTAACTAATATACCCCAGAATTAAAAAATAAAAACCATAAAATCAACAGAAAACATTAAGAGAGGTACCGCAGTTCAGTTAAGTACAACATAACATTACATAATTAATATTTAAGTATTAATTAAAACAATGAAAAGTTTAAGATTCAAGATTCATCATTCCCATAAAAACAAGGATAAATTAAACATGCTTTTTTTTTTTTTTTTCATTGGCAAGAAACCCACACACCCATTTGTTCCTATAGGGACTCAAACCCTCACCATCCCCTTTGGGAGGTGGAGGAGATACAACTAGGCTACACAGACTTTGGTTAAATTAAAAAGGCTTCAATATTTCCTCAATAGCCAAACAGGATATGCGTTGCAAAATGGTTGGGTTGATGAATTGTAATGACTAATTTACCATCAATGCAACAATAAGATCATTTCTGTTCAATGCATTAGAAACGATAATAACAGTTTTAACACAAAGATAGCAGTATCAAATAGTGAAAAGTTTCATAATATTTCGTCTATATCACATGAAATAGTGAAAATAAGGGATAAAATTAACAATAAAGAGAGAAGAAAAAAGTTTCATCGAAGAACTTTAAAAACCTTATTGGTGAATAACTAGTTGATTTCAGGCTTTTATAAGAGTCCATCTTATTATTTTCTTATAACTAGTCAATTTAAGGCTTTTATAACAGTCCCATCTTATTGTTTTCTTCAAAACAATAAAAGGCTCTTTGACTAAAGGGTAAGGTAGTAATTGTATTCAGCGAGCTTTTTACATCAAGATAAAAATGGCATCATACAAAATCATTAGTTAACATGGTCTGTTTTTCAACCTCTAACCAACTTTTCTGGATTTCCAACAAGAGAATGGTCCATAGTATCCACGAGTTTTTTCTTTTCTCCACTATGTTCTGTAATATTATGTATGCAAAAAGCATGAACTTTGTACAGTCACACACATGTAAAGAGATATATCCCAAATTGTCTCGGCAATACTGAGGTGACTCACTCAACTCGTACTTGTATCGTGTAGATACCAATATACTTAACGATGCGGTGTCATCTCAGTTAATTATGGTATCAAGTATTGTATTCGGATTGTGTGATACGTCTTAGTATAGGTCAATACTGCAAACCAAGCCACCACCACTCTCCTATACCCTCCTCAAGCCAACAGCTTTCACTTCAACATCAAACAGATCTTCTATCCAATTGTTAAAAGTGTTACTCTTGTCCTGCTCAGATTCTTGTCAAACGTACAACGCCAACTCAGGTGAAAAGACAGCATTTACTCTGCATAAGCCAATGGAAATTTTGGCAAGATTCCCCATACTTCTCATCCGCTAAGAAGTTTCCATGAGTACAACTCTTTGAACCAAAAAAGAAACAAAATCTAAACTTACAAAAAAATTCAGTTTGCAACAGAATAACTTCTTCCCAAGTTTTCTCCACTCTATGAAAAGGCTCATTTAATCAACAATGCATCGTTCTTTTAGTTTGTAAATCATCAAGGAAAAATGCTTAAAATACCAGTGAATGAAAAATAATTTTTAATGAAAAACTAAAGTTCTTTACCAAAGAAAGAACAAAATTATATAAGATAAAAGTATTATAAGGAAATTGAGAAATTATTTTCTAGGCTCCAAGATCACGTCGACGACTCAGAGGAAAAAGTGCATTGCCAAACATATGTCCTGCCTACACTGGCTGCTAAGAGGGAAGATGAAGCATGAGAAAGAAGTTGGGATTATAAAGTTTTAAAACATTTAAAAGGCTCAAAAGATTATTTCGTTATATAACTAATATATAAGTCCAAAAAAGTAAACCGACACTCAGTTTTTCAAGATTCATTGTCACACAATGGCCTCCTATTGCCTCTTTCAAACCCACCATAAATTTGATCAAGTAAACTGATGCTTCTTCAATCTCTTCATTCCCTCTGGATTCTAGAAGAAAATTTGCATGGCAAAAGGCAGCATGCCCTGTGTCCTATACAATCTCTATAGAGGTGCAAATTCTCACTTCTAGACTATGGTCATCCTAGCTTCAGTTGAGTCCATAGCTCCATTAACTTTAAAAATACATCAGAGAAAGGAAAATGAACTTGAATGTGCTCCAGAAGATAATACCCTTTTAAGGAGCATCATACAACCAGGAGCCAAATAGGTATGATTTTTCTGATGGTAGCAATTACATAACATAAAACCCCTAAATAAAAGGTAAGTGTCTAAGTTGCAAGTATATATGTCAGATGACATAAAAACCTCCATTTTTATGATTTTATGATTTTATCTAAGAGGGTGTTGCATGTTCAGAGTTACACTTTAAATAGATGCACTATCAAAGTCTGAAGCATGAACAACGGACGAGACATCAGCTTCAACATTTTCTTATCATAATAAAGTTCCATAATATCAAACAATTCCCGGGATGCAGATGAGACAGTGAGATAAATATTTCATTTGACAAGACCAAAATCTATTAAACCAAGTGCTACACCGTGTTCAAATATTGTAGATGGATGAGCTACTGTTTAACCGAAGTAAGGATAATTTAGATTTGGCAATGCAATTCCATGTTTTACAAAGGCTCAAGGGTATTGGATGTAAACTCAATGTAGTAAGAAGTAAAACACCTTTTTTTGCATAACTACGTTTAGAGAGGACTCTGGATGCATATAGTTGCAAGACTTTTTGCAACATAGCCTCAAGCCCTGGCTTGTCCCCATCTTCTTTTGCCTGCAAATGACTAAGAATGAATTTAGTAACCACATCATATATGCAGATCTTAAAGGTAGCAGCACACAGGATAAAAAGATATCATAAAATCAGTAAACTTATTATGAAAGTCCAAGGTTTATACTATTCTAGAACAAAGAAATAAATGAATGTTTACAAAAAATAATAATAATTAAACAACAATAATAATAATAATATATTGTCATTTCCTACGACAAGGTTGGTGACAAAAAATATGGAAGCATACAAGACCGTATAGCACTTCGATCTAAAGATCATGGCAACAGTCTGTGATGCGGAACATACTCTGCCTAGGAAAATGGTTTTGGCATACTATTTTTAGTTACTTGTATTATTATGTAGGTAAAACATCGATTCAAATTTCATTATTTCAAAATTGTTTACTTACTACTCTGTGGTCATTTTGTTTGAGTTTTGCATTGTTGGAACCATGAAATTAGTTAGGCGTGATACACAAAAGCAACTTAATGAACTCTTGCCTTTTTACCAACCAACACTCCCCCCACCCACCCACAAAAAATAATAATAAATAAATAAATAAACTGAGTGAACACAGCAGATAAACCAAAGTTGAAGAAATTTAAGGGAAACTGGATTAGTTTGTGTAATGGGACTCACCAACAATACTAGGGCTTCACTTACCTGGTGGAGATAACGAGGCTCGGTGTGAATATGGCAAACCACCAAGGCTGTATGTCTTATCTGGTGAAAATTTGACATTTTAAAGTTCGGGTTATATATAGAGGCCATTTGTCAGGTTTAGTCAAAGGTGTTTCTAGTAGCCTTCTAGGACAGTAGCATAAACGATTTACTTCACAGTTTCATTGAGGTCTTCAGAAATCAGTTCGATATTCAACATCCAGCTTTAAGAAATAAGCTTAAGGTTTTTGAGTATCAAGTAAGCAAGGCTCAGGATATTTTAGTACCTTTGAATATTACAGATTTTGTACAAGGAGGCCAGAGCACTACTCATTAAAAAAGAATCAAGCATTAATAATGTTCAGCTCATCATGAGACCAGTATTGTGATTATAATTGCTTTTTTGGCGGCAACACCTCTGTCAAGATTCCCTGCATGCCATTTTAACTCCGAGACATATCCTTCTTTTTACTGGAGCATGTTTTTCTTTTTCTTTATTGTTCCTGTTTCTTTTACACAAATTTTACAAACGACATTCAGCTCCTAAATCAGCCGACAATACATTATCACAAACATCAGCCTCTATAACACTAGAGCCAAAAAAAAGGAAATCAACTGGTTTAAAATACTAAACATTTATATCGCTCGTCTCAACAAGAACCAGCCAAACTGTGATATTTGCACATAAGTTTAACGTTAAGCCTGTCAATTTACAAAAGTTGCACTTAAGAGATACTTGTATCCCTGATGGGCTTGTGCTCTGGATTTTCAAACGTTTGTCTAACTTGCGCATAAGTTTAATATTAAGCCTGTCAATTTACAAAGTTGCACTTAAGAGAGATACGTGTACCCTGGATGGGCTTGTACTCTTATTTTTCAAACGTTTGTCAAAGAATGAGTTGGTTCGCCTCCCGCACATGAACTAGCCACCATTAGGAAGAACAATTCACACAGAATACAAAGTAAAGGGTGTAAAAAGGCCCCAAGGATTAGGTAGTGCAGAAAGCAACAGGAGTCCCATGGTGCAGTCCTCCATCACATTGATATTTGTTTTTATCTTCAATTGCAACCACCCTTAAGACGAATACTAGTTGGAGGCACCAGCTTCTCTATCTCTTGCAAAGACATCATGTATTCAATTTAGAAAAGAACTACCACAGCCACATTTATATTTTTTTTCCATTCAGTACAAGTACAGAGTATGTTCGGTGTAGTTTGTTCAGTACATCTGAGACTTTCTTGGTTACCATAATGGCTCTCTTGAGCCAACTGCTGAACAGCTGAAATGCAGGTCTAAGCTTAAAGTTTTAAACACCATACTAAAATTCAGAAATGGATGGTTTCTAGTGTGGTGATATTCTGAAATCATGTCATTTATATCATTTTAAGTAACCAAACCTCCTAATTACTAGCTTACCAAAAATTTAATCTTACATAACAAGCTTAGTATAATTCAGTAAAAGTAACAATAATTTGCCATTATTCAGTAATTGAAAATAACTGTTTTCATTAAAAAAACAAAAAAACAACAAAAAAGACACTGCTTATATGTTGCCATGCGCACAGCAAGCGGAACTTGCCAGTAATGTTGGGCAATAATCTAATGTTACCAGCAGAAACGTAACTATGCATGTATGTATAAAGCAATTAAACAAACTCACTTGCCGCAATTGTGCATTAACTTCTGAAAGGAACCCTTCATCCAGTTGGCCTTCTTGCTCCCTTTGGTTTATTTCCTGAAAACCGCAAGATTGCATACATTCATTATGATACAACAACAAATCTAGAAACCTTCTCACTGAAATATGATTATAGCTATGGTAAGAAAATAATAAAAAGCCTGAAGGACACTAACTTTAATCAGAAATCATAACTAACTGGCATTAATATATTGTTTTACAGGCCAATAAGGACAGCAAATAGTATCAATGTCATGACAAAGTTACAACAAAAAAGAAAAGTATGTGAGTGAAGGACTGGAAAATTGTACTCAAATAATTGGGTTTTTCAGTATACAGAATATGGAAAGAATCACAAAGAAGCACTAGAAAAAGATGAAAATAACATCAGTTCCATCAGCCCCAGAACAAAGTTTTAACAGGAAAAAGGCAATATATATATATATATATATATATATGATTCAACCAAGAGTAAAGCAATACTTTCTCCATTAGATTCAGAGACTCAGGATCTCGAGGAGGCCAAGGAATCTCTTCCACTTCATCAACTACAGGTTTTAAAATTTCCTTAAGGATGTCAGTGGCTGAGTTTATTTTTTCCTGCAGGTAAAAAGAACTGTGATAAAGATAAAAGAAAAAAACAACGTAATAGAATAACATCAATCAAGTTATCAGAATACTATCTAATAACCATAATGCAAGAGTGTTGTGCAGAGAGAGTGAGAGTCACACTTTGGTCTTATGAACAAGGTGATCCACTATGTTCATCACAGATAAGGCCAATTCTTCATAATCTTTCTGCAAACAAATGATATAACAAACATTTCTATCACAAAACAGGGTCCAAACACAAAATGATTTAAGAAAATACAAGTCAAACAAAATAGAAAACCGTGCTTTATCGTCTTCAGATTTGCAGGTATCAGTTCTAGCTGCAAGTCGTATCCAAAAGCTCTCATTGAAAGCAAGGACATTCTCTAGGACAAGTTTCTGAAGCTGTTGCAAAATCAACCACAACAATGAGAAGTTTATTAAAATGATTCTACATGGAAATTCAAATAGAAGACAATGTATAGCTTTAACTCTGCTTCTTCTTCTTCTTCTTTTGATAAGTGTATAGCTTTAACTCTGCTTAAAAGAATCAATTTGGTTGATGGAAAAAGAATCTACTTACTTCAATTGCATTTGCATCTCTCAGCATGTCAATCAATCTATCCACTTCTACAGTCTTTTTAAATGATTCCTCCGCATCTTGACTGGCTGCACAGAGCAAAGTTCTCCTGCTTATTATATCCAAACAACCCATTTTTACTATCAATAGCTCCCCATATAACAACGTATTACGACTTATACATAAACTGAGAGAATCATTTCAGCATAAAAATCTTAAATGAAAACAGTAAAGTGGATAAAAGGCGGACATGAAATCACCCAAACTTCTTTGCATCATTCCCCTCCCCCTGCCTGTTTAAGTAAGGAAAAAAAAGTTTTAAAAAATCCTGTCATGTTTATCAGGAATCAGAAAAGCTTTTTTTTAAAAAAATATAATAAAAATCTAACCTTAAAGCTAATCAAAGGAAGTGAAAATATTTGCATATATTTCCAAGAATCCTTCTACCTTCAATTATTTAAAAAACAATTAAGAGTTTTTTTCATTTATATTACTTGAAATTCTAGAAGGAGAAATGAACAGAAATAACAATAAATTTTAAATTACAGAAAAGTAATAAGTTGTAGTTAAGTGGCATAAGTACTAAAGGAATGGATGGGGTTATGGGTTCAATTCTCGTTGTCCATGATATTTGGAATAATGTCTCAAGATTAACATCTAAAAGTGCAATTAAATAATTCAAAATATTCAATTAATTAGTGTTAGAATAAATAATTTGTACATTTTATTGCTAGTGCCAGTTTTGTGCAGGCCAACTTAGTATGAGCTTCCAGAATTATGTGAAGGCCTGCAGAGGCCCATGTAATTCCACCCCCAAGAGGAGGTTCACTGGCAGTGCCCACAAAAGACAAATACAGAGAATTCCTACAGTCATGTATATTCAATCTGTAAGAAAGTGAAAAAGGTTATGAGTCTAATAGGGTATACAAATTGAGGCAAGATAATCTTGCAACTCTAAGTTTCAATAACTGAAAGTGCTCCTCACTTTTTCCCCTTCCATGATGTAGGCACGCTGCCAAACCACATCACTTGTTACGACAAACAAACCACAGACACAATAAATCTTTCAACGCAAAACCATGCACCACAGAAAACACAAAGATTTACACAGTTCAACTTATAACTTACGTCCATGGAGAAGATTGACTAGGAGATTTCACAAAGCTAAGAAAAACAGAAATTACAAGTTATCATCAAGTCCTCAACCCCTTGTCTCTCTCTCTCTCACTCCCTTTTTGTTTGGCTTTCAGGGTTCTCTCCCTCTCACACTACAGGCCTTTGTACTCTTATATACCGGATTACAACAGATATTAAAATCTGGTTTCGTGACCCACAAGAACTGATGTAGGACAGTTTTATAGTATTTAGTAATTTTTTATTTATTTTATATTTTATAGGAGGTTTAGTTTTAATTAATTTCTTTTAGGAATTATTTTCCTTTTGCTATTAGGTTTTTTTATGTTTTAGTTTTCTTTTAGAATTAGGTTTTCTTTTATTATAAATAATTGTACTGCCAAGTGTAGAAAAAAACTTTTATTCGTTCAATTATCAAATAATATATCAGATTTCTCTGAATTCTCTTTCTGTTTTGTGGATTCAAAACACCCACCTTGTGGATTCAAGGTAACCTGTTCCTCGTGAACAAATTTATCGCTTCCACTTACGTCAAGAACAAATAAATAGTCCCAATTCGGGCCACAACTTCATAACCAGGACAAAACCCAATAATCGGGTCGAAAAGCAACCATAACCGAAATAAAATTAAGTTTAAGACCACAACTTCGCATAACTCTTTTCCTATTTTCATTGACTATCTAGTACTTCATTCATATAGTTAGACGGCATATCACTATTCCCTTTTATCATTTAATTTTACATGCTAATAAATGTCTCTCGAGGAAATGAAAAACTAAAAAAAAAAAATGAATACACAAATCCACAATATATCCAACATGCCATTTATGAAAATTATAATCATGTATAAATCAAGATTACTGCTATGCACAATAATGAGTTATTGGAATCATAACTCAACTCAAACAATCCGCCTAGCATAACCTGAACTCTTTGGTAAGTATATATAATATGTATAAAAGACGCTTCAAGTATGATAACATATAAAAATAAATGGCCACAAAACAATACCTCTTCTTCCATTCCAATACGCCGATTGAAGAAAACAGTTTGCTCTTCCCTATCCTGATATTCAGGATGTTCCATCCTCGGAACAATGAAATCTGCCATTACATGAAAAGAAAACACAATGAAATTACAACTATATATTTGTTGAATCAATTAAATCAAGAATCACAAGAACAAGTGAATTACTACCGGATTAGAATCGGATTCTTTTATCGAATTCTTGCTACGAGAAGTAGGCGGTTTCACATGTTCTTGTAAGTTTGAATCCAGAAAATTTACCCCTTCATTGATTCTTGGGGGAGAGAACGAGATGAGAGAAAAGAAAATGCAAGAAAATTCCGTAGTCTTCTCTCTCCCTCCAATAACCAAAGAAAAGGGCGTATGTATGCATACATCTATAAATATAGAGAGAGTATTACCGAATACAGGCGGGAGGGAGAACCGACGCATCTGAGAGGAGGGGACGGTGACACAGCAAAGAGCGTCGACATTTGAGAGTCCGTACAATGGCGGGAGAGACCACAAAATTATTTTAATTGTTAGCACCAAATCTTGATATGGTGGTGTCCCTCCCCCTCCCTCTCACTGGGAGAGAGAGTGCGATCGGGTGTGATTATGTGTGCGTGCTGCTACTTAGGGCCTCATACAAGGAGGGCCAGACAAGTTGACAACCACTAATATAAAGGGCTTGGCTTGGGGTCACGGCCCAATTACCTTTGGGCCTTGAGGTTGTCATTAAGAGTAACAACTCCAAAGCCCAAGTAAAAACCGGCACGTGCCTATCCTGAAGTTGGTTGTTTCAGTACTTACGAGATAAGAACTATAACTATTAGTACCATTTAAAGTTTGTTTCATTGGAATTGTTTAGAAGAATTAAAAATAAAACAACTGAACGCTTCTTGGTAAATGCTCCAAGTTTGGCTTGTTGTGTACAAATATATACATACATGTAATTTTTTATAATTCAATAATTAAAAAATAATTGTAAATTGAATAATTGACAAATTATAAAATAATTTGTTTTTAGAACTTCCATTCCAGTGCAAAGTGTGAGCTGACTTAATATTTAACTAACAAAATCTCTCATGAAAATAACTTTTCATTTTGCAAAGTTGAGAAGTCAACTGGATCACATTTCCTACTAACCAATTGATGATAAAGGATTACGACGTTATATATGAAGCATTTATTCAAATTATTGCAAAATAAATTTTATTGTAATTAATTTGGTTAAACTAATAGGAGTATCATACAAGTAGGTACTACAATTATTATTTTAAAATTTAGCCGTAGGATAAATATTGTAAGAAAACTATACTGTTACTTTTAGGTTGCTATCTGAATACAAGTTACGTGTTGGAGTCCGTGAAACTAAATTAACTAACTCCAAATGTCTGGACATGAATATCCATGTGGGACTCGGGCTCGTTTTGGACCGTCTGATCATCATCATCTTTCATGGTTCGTGTTTGTTACGCGCGAAGGAGACAGCGCGTATGATAATAGCAAAGATTTTGGTCATCATTACTCATTAATGCATGGATTCAGTAGCCATTTTTAGATACGTGCACGTAGAAAGAGAGAGAAGGCCGAATGTTGTGCTTCTGATGCTATCTTTTCTCTGTTCCTTTTGTCCCCTACCAGTATACCAGGGATCAGGTATATAGAATAGGTGGGATTTCATTATTTTATTCCAATCATTTTATTTAAATATTAAGTTAGTTTGTTTTGACTAAAAATATTTTAAAAATAAATATTCTATTTTTTAAGTAATATATATATATATATATACACACTTTTTCAACTGTCGACAAAACTTTAGGCCAAGGCTCACAAGTCTACCAGCCTTGTGAAATAATTTATCAAAGATCAATCAGTAAATTTTTATCAAGTTTTAATGTTTTATTTTTTGTAAATATTTTAAGACAACCAAATATCATAAAATAAAAAAATTATTTTACCTCAAAACTAACATAGCGTTAATTTTAAATCCTAATTGTGCAATGAATCCTCAACCATGTGAACTGAAATTAATTTCAAATTTAATTTAAATTAATTCCTCTGGGTATGTTTAGATTTTTTAGTTAATTTGCACTCAGAAGTGTATGGCTGAGGAAATGTATTATGTCACCAGATTCAATTCCAATAAATATTTGAGTATAAATTGTGATATTATAGTTTCACTATTGCAATACACTAGTGGCCGGTAAGAGTTATAATCTTTTGTATAATGATTTTAAATCTTTTTCGTTTTATCTCAATTGAACAGCACATATAATGCTACTGATTAAACATAAAGAATTTTTTACCATATATATATATATATATATAAAAGAATGATTATCCAAACTAACAAAATTAAATCAAGAATCCAAATAAATCACATGATACAAAATTTTTAAAAATATATTTTTTATAGTAAATGTCTTTTTGGAAGGATGTTAAAATTTTAATATAAGTATTTATTTTTTTATTTGTTATTTTATATAATCCTATAAACAAATAACACTATTAGATGTACTTCATATAACATTGGTGTACTTAACATATGAAAAACATTAATTGACAATAGTTTTAGCCTTTTGAATCTACACTTTTGAAGCATATTCGTTTCTATGCTATATACAAGTTTTGATTGTTCAACATCTTAAAATATATATCTTATAACGGCCTTCTTTTGGGATACATTGCAACTAAATTTCTCTATCGTCAGGATGGGTATATCTAAATCTTTCTATGAAAATATACTAAATATTTAGATAGTATATATAATTTTCTAATTTATTAGAAATATCGTTAGTTCAAATACTGAAACTCCAATCCTTTATATAAGACTTCTCTGATTTAATAAACATCTTATTGTAGTAAAATTAATGGCTAGGATTTATCATCTCATAATTGCATAAAAAATATCTTAGATATTTACACACCTTACACAATTTTGTATCCCTCTAAAAAACAAAAATTTACTCTTTCACTATTTTTGCAAATTCTCCAATCTTCTCAAATCTTCCAACTTTTTAAATATTTACCACTTTTTTATATTTTTTTATTGAAGTTAAGTATTAGGTACTAAGAATTTGAACTCGAACTCGAACTCATGTAAAATAAATTTTCAAAATAAAAATAATAAAATCATACAATTTATTTTTATCAAAAATTACATGATATAAAATTTTCACAATTTCGATTGCTAGGGAGTCCAAATATCGTGTTTGTATTAATTCCAGAGTTTGTCTCTAGTTTGCCGCCAAACCAAAGCGCTGTCTTGTAATTGGGATTACATAGATATCTCCCAATTTCCATCATTGCACGTATTTATTTATTTTTATCTCCTCTACTCTCCCTTACTTTTATATACTCACTAAATTTCAGCAAATGATACATGCACTTGAATGTTTATACACACAGACAGCAAAAAATGTAAATTAAAACACCAAACTACGGCCTCTGGTTAAACTAATCATTAAAGTGTAGTTGACAATTTTGATCACAAATTCTGAATACTCTTCAAAAAAAAAAATAATAATAATAATAATAATGATTTTCTAATATGTCAAAACGCTAAATTCAGAGTTCTAATTAGCTTAATTGAATTTTTTACGGATTGATAAAATTTTATATCAGTAATGTAAAAAAGATATAAAATACAACATCAAAAAAAAAAAAAAAATAGTAGCTGTAAAGAAGTTGTGAATTTCAAAGGACTAGAACTTTCTGTACTTTTTGTTAAGCTTATCATTATAAGGAAAAATTATCACCAAGTCATACTACCTTCATAAATAAGTCATATTTTTTTAATGATTTTTCTTTCTAAGTCCTACATCATTACATCTTTTTATTTAGAAAAATTATAGATCAAATGTAAGACTTATTGGTCCTAAAGAAAACCTTCAACTTGTTTGTCTTTCCGTGATAAAAATAGCAGTTGATAGTAATTTTTTCTTTTAACAATGGATGATTTTATTAATTAATATTACTGTATTATTTTCATAATAACATAGCTATACATGTATATATGTGAGATACTTTCAAACATAAGTTTGTGTCTTCAACGCGTGTGCCTTGGATAAGCAGAAATAGTTTATAAATAAATTTATTTTATATTTTTATTAATAATGAGAAAAAAATTGATAAACAATTCAGTTCCATAGTCAAAGTAAATAAATCTAATAACAGATTTCGTCAGAAAAAGACTTCAGTTACACATAAAGTGTTTTAATTTTTTTTTAAGATAACTAAAACAGAAAAAATAAGTCAAAACAATTTCATTTGATAAAAAAAAAAAAAAAAAAAAAAAAATTAATTAATTAATTTCATGTTGTATTATTTTTCTAATTATTTTTAAAAAATTAAAAAAATGAAAGTTAAAAAAATATAAATCAAAGAAATCCATTAAATTAAACATTATCTGAAAATTATTATATAGAAAAGAACCTTATTTGGAGACAAATTCTGTTAACTCAGTTTCCAAAATTCATTGGCTTAAAGAAACACTAGTGTTTGTGTGTATATATATATATATATATGTATATTTATTGTACTCCGTAAGTCCGTAATTCTTTAAAAAATCATTAAATAATATAACAATATATATATTTATTCATTTTGACCCTCGTGCCCACCATCCCCTTCCCATCTCTCTTCCTCCTATGACTCACTCATTTCTCCTATGACTCACTCTGTCACACTGACACACGACTGGCGGGCCGCCCCAGTCCCCAACTCTCTCTCTCTCTCTCTAAAACATACAATCGGTTCTCTCTCTATATATATACATATACACATATAGGAGTATCTATTCTATGATAGCAAGATCAAGCCCTCCTCTAATACAACTGCAATCTAGAAGACATACTTACATTAATTCCTCTTTCAGATTGTAAAAATGGCAGCTGCAAAGGGTTTGAACCCTGAAGCGTCTGCATACATTCCAAGGTCTCTACAATCCTTTCTTTCAACATTCCCCACTCTCCCACCAATCACCACCCACTGCTGCTATTTCTCACCACCACCACCTCCTCCGCGTCATGGTGGTGCTTATAATTATTACCCCACACTCTCCTCTTCCTCTTTCTACGATCCACTACCTCTCTACACCGCCGACTCCTTCCCACCACTGTCTCCGGCGGCGGAGGAGGAAGGGGAAGCGGAAACGGAAGCGCCGCCTTCGCCGACAGTACTGATAAAAGAGCAAGAAGTAGGAGTGTATGAAGAGGGTATACGAAGGACTTCTACTAGGAAAGGGTTTCGAAGAAGTGGGTTTTGGAGGAAAGTCGGAGGAAAGAGAGAAGGATGTGGTGGAAGTGATGATGGTAGGCAGCAGGCGGAGTTAGGGTTTGTGAATGGGAAGGACAGGTTCTTGATTCATCAGAAGAAGAAGAGGGTTGGGTCATTTGGGAGAACTAAGCCACGTCACAGAGTATTACATCTAGATCTCACAAGCGATGAGCCCATAACAACTGTTATGATAAAAAATGTGCCAAATAAATACACGTAAGTTCATTCTATATATATATACTTGCCATTAATTCCTCTATTTTTCTTTCACTTTATTCTTATTTATTAAATGCTGTTTCTCTCTCTATATATATCTACGTATTAAGTACGTTGTGATCATGAATATTTTAATGGGTTTCTCGGTCTTTCTATATATATATATATATATTTGTTGTTGTTTCCCAATGATTTGTTTGTGTTTCTCACTACGAAGTTGGATAAGGCTTGCAAGTTTGTTTGACAGACAATTAACTGATAATTTTTGTAATTTTTCAAGTTCAATTTCTATAGCTAGTGAGTTATTTTTGTGAAATGGAGTTAAAGGTTTTGTTTTGATTCTGATTAATATTTTTTTTGCTTCATTTTTGGGGCTTTGATTTCAGTCGTGGACTTTTATTGAAATTCCTAGACCAACATTGTATGGCAGAGAATGAAAAGATCAACAAGTTTAACCCCAATGAAGAAACTGAAGAACAGACTGTGTCAGCTTTTGACTTCTTGTATCTTCCAATGGATTTCAAGTATGTTCATACTATTTCAAGTAATTGTTTACTTGATGGATGTTTCATTGAAAAGTGACGTATTTTCATTTCCATTGTTAAGAAGAAGTTTTTTTCACCAAGGCTATAGCTTTTTGGTGGGCAAAGTGGTGGGCCACGTGGGTGTGGGTGTGTTTATATATATATATATATATAGATATATATATATGTATGTATATGTATAAAACTTAAAGTTTTCAAGGGTCAGTCACCGACTGCACTACTAAGTCAGTAGCTACTAGCTAGTAATGTAACGTGTGTAGTAATTGTTTGGTGCAGAACTGGTTGCAACAAAGGTTATGCTTTTGTAAACTTCACAGAGGCTAAAGCGGTGTGGAAGTTCTACCAAGCTTTTCATAACAAGGCTTGGGACTTTTTCCAATCCCCCAAGATACGTGAGATTGTCTGCGCCAAAATCCAGGTACCACCTCGCCTAATCATAGATCATCACTCATTATATATTTTGCCCTAATTAATTACTCGGTCATCTACATGCAAATACAAATTATTGCACATTACACGCACTAATTGTATGTTTGGATAAATAAAAATGAATTTGAAGTGAGAGCGTGCATCTGAGTTAGAGTTTATATTATTTATATGTACACACACAATATATAGTAATAAGTTTTGGGTTTGATATCATTAATTAAAATGGTTAATTGGCAGGGGAAGGAGGCACTGGTGGATCATTTTGAGAAGTCTACGTTTCGGTGTGATACGAATGAGTTCCTGCCTGTGTGTTTCAGCCCAGCAAGAGATGGTTCTGGTAAGTGGGTGAAACAAAGTTTGGTTGGGGAAAGAATTTAGATATATATATATATATATATATATATATATTAATTAGGGTTTAGTTTAGCTGTAGCTCGGGATATGTGTGTGAAAAAGGGGTGGAAGTTGGCACCTGCGCGCATGGAGTTGTGATGTAGGGGGCCTAGGAGTAGGTGATGGGTTCCACCCTTTTTGATAAATCCAGTAGTTGGTGTAAATGAAAACTTAACTTGCAAATGGTGTAAAGCCAAATCTACTGTGGATTACTGTGGATTGTAAGTTGTTCTGTAAGCTGCTGCCATGTTTGTAATCTTTTGTAGTTCCTTGTGCATTTTCTGCTGCCACTACTACTGCACAGATCGACATGTTTGAGTTTCTTGTAGTAGGTATAATATATATACACACACACATATACTAGGTTAGTATATATGGAGATACACTCCTTGAAATTGAAATTATAGATTGGTGTTGATTCAAATTTTTATTTATTTATTTTTCTGATTAATTCCTCTCTAATGCACCTCCATACTTATGCCTAACATTTCGGCTAGAAAGATGAACAAACAGAAGTATCATTTTCCTTTTATATATAGAAAGAAGTGTTAGTTTGAATATAATAGTGTGGTAATTGATCTAAGGGGAATATTTTATTTATAATTAATTCAGACAATTAAAGTTAGGACAATCAACGTTAGCAATGGTGCACAAAAGAACTGTGGAACAGGATCATGAAACGTTCCAGTTTTCACAATTTCGGTCCCAAATCCGAATTTAGGAACCATTGGCATATGGTTTCGGTTCTAATCCGTGGGAACGGGTAAGAATCGGAATAGTGTGTGTGTATATATATATATGTATTATATTTAATTTTATACTAAAAAAGAAGTATAAAAAACCTATTTTTTTAGTTTTTTTTGCCCTAAATCTCTCTCTCTCTCTCTCATCTAAACAAAGAAGTGATGAACCCTAAGCTAAACCTCGCCTCCTCTGAAGTATGACCTCTCACCGCCCTCGCCTAAGTGAAAGATGTGTTTGTATTTTAAAGAAAAGCAACGTAGACAGAGAAAGTGAAAGATGTGTTTGGTGTTCGTGTGCAATGAGGACGAAAGGGTGATATCTAGGCAACCGGCACCAGGGTCGTGTCCGTACTGTGGAGGGATGATACATGCCATGGACGTTGAGAGTCAATGGAGGTTTTGTTTCCTGCCTCTGTATTTTAGGACCAAGAAAAAGTACTATTGCAGTATGTGTGCTAGGCATTTGGTCGTCAAATACCAAGACTATATGTAGATCGAAGCGACGAACACTACTTCTCTCCTCATCAGAACAATTGGAGACTCATCGGAACAATTGGAGACTGCTGTCAGATGGGTTAGCTTGATGATTAATGACTACTACTTTAATTTGTTTGGTTTGTTTGCTCGCTTCTTTTTTATTATTATTTTTTATTTCTTTTGATGTATATGTATATATATATATGAATCATATGAGACATAGGTATGAATATATTAACGATGAAATACTTTTTTGGTAAAATATTATTTTGGTGTATCTTGAAGTTTAGTATTCTTTTTTAATTCTATCAACTTTTTTTTTTTGGCCTGAGAAATATGATTTATAGAAATAAGGGGTATTAAATTCAGAAATGATTATTAGTATTGGACTGTGTTGGAGTCTGTTTTAAATTTTCCTCATCAAAGGTAGCCTAAATCACATTGATTTAGTTTTGAATTCTGTAGATGGCGGCTAACTATGGTAGTGTAATTGCATAGAAGTCATTTTCTTTTACTTCTACGAACATAATTCTAAAACCTTTATACCTAATCCTTCAAGAAAAAAAATCAAACAGTTAACGGTGCTCATTCGGTTCCATACTATATGGTTCCAGTTCCGATTTTGTTTTCAAAGAGCCGTCGTGAACTGTTCCGGCTCCGGTCAAAAACCGGAACCGTGTACACCTCTAACAATGGTGTAAACACCTCTCTTTGGTGTTTGCCAAAGATTGAAGTCCGGAGCCCACTGTACAAGAGATCGAGTAAACCATCATCAATTCGATCTATAGAGAATGTCATCACAAGCTCGGCTCCGTCATATACAGGGATTGCAAAAGCCTCTAGGACACTGGCAGCCTGATGTGAGCTTCCTAGGCCTCAAAGAAAGCCTCCGTATGGACATATTTTTTGGGGATAATTACATAAACATGGAATTTTGGAGTTAAATTTACAAAGTCATGGTGTCAAAAGTCAATATTTTACACCCATAAATTTTTTATTCAAGTATTAGGTGTACATGGAAAAACAATATTCATTTGTCCAAACTTCCAATATTCATTTGTCCAAATTAGCCTTAGAATTTCATGTAAACATCACTCTTAAATATAAAAATATCACTTTTGTATGTAAGTATTATTTTTATGATAATAGATGAAGAGATCACTTTTATGTACTCCCTCCACTCTTTATGAGAGTAAGTATCACTCTCATATATGCACATGGACTACTTTGATAATTTTTATATGCATAAAAATGATATATATATATGTACAAAAGTGTTACTTACGTACAAAAAATGGACGGCGAAAAAAATGATCCATGAATATATTAAGAGTAATTTAAACAAATGCACGGCGCTTTTCATGTGACTAGAGACTTTTTAGAAAAATGTTCAATTTTTCTATAATTATCCTTATTTCTGGAGTCCACACTTGAGTAGTATTAGTCCTTAGTTTATTTATTTGCTCAATACGTTTTTATCTTTTTTTTAACAAAAAAGAAAAGAAAAGAAAAGAAATGCCGTTCAAAAAAAAAAATCCTACCAAAAAGGCCAAAATGTTAGTCCATTGGCAAGGGAAAATAGAAATGCAAATCTCTAAAAAGAATGGATACTATACTCTCTTCACTCGATACCTACATCTTTTCTTCTTTCTAACAAGGCAGTCATGGAGACGAAGCAAATAGCATTGTAATCATATCATTACAGACCATCATTTAATATGAAATGAAACGTCAGTGCAGTGTAATCATATGGATTAGATAGTCAAGAAACGCTTTGTTTAACCTAATAATATATTTACCCTAGTTAACATCATTAGCTCCTAAAGTCTCCTAATGTACTAGGTGATGGGTTTGAGACACGGTCATTCTGGTTCAATTTCTTTGAAAATTTAAAAAACTGTAAATTTTTAAAAATTTATTATAAAAAAAAGGAGAACTAGTAACTTGCTTTGCGAGAGAGTACACAGTAGAGAGAATTGGAGTAGATTGTTTCCTATCCCATTATCGAAGGATATACTTACATATATATATATATATATATATATATATATATATATATATATATATCAAACGGACTGAAGTTGCTAGTGTACAATAATCATTTGTTCTCTACCTTCACCACCCATTGCATCACTGTACCAATCAGATTTGATTTCATTGTGTATATCATTTAGGTGCCGTCATCATTACTTTTACAAGTTGTAGGCCTACAATTTACATATCCATTTGCATAGATAATAATATAGTTGTGGCCCCCACTATAATATATAACAAAATTTCAGTTTTAAAAAATATTTCCTTTCATAGAATTGTAATTTTATAATTTTCATAAAACAATTTTTAGAAAACTAAACCCAACAAATTCATAAATTCAAATTTCGCTTTCATCCGAGCTCGCCAGAAATGCTACATTCATTATATAACATAATTGAACAAGAAAATAATAATTATATATATATATATATATACAAAAAAAAAAAAAGGAGAGGTAAAGGAGGTTTCGTTTTTTGAATTTTAATGCTTAAAAATTTTGTGGGATCCACTTAAGGACAAAAAAACACTTTTTTTAAAAATATATATTTAAAATTTTTGTTCGACAAAAATGAGGGGTCTTTTTTAATTTTGACTTTCTTTAAAGCATTTTGTAAATTTTTTAAAATTCCAGTGTGGGGAAAAAAAAGAGAGGGGCGTTGCGAGAATCGAACTCGCGGCCTCTCGCACCCAAAGCGAGAATCATACCACTAGACCAAACGCCCAACTCCTCAAAGGTGTAGATCAAAATTATATTAATATTATTTTGTACAAGTAATTATTGGGTATATTTCTATATCGTTCTCGGAATATATCTTTTCTCTCTAGTCTATAATCTATATACTGTGCACAGCAAAGAGATGATAATGGCGGCCTTATCATCTTCCTCTTCTCAGCTGATTGGCCACCGTATCTTCCGACCACCGTCTACGGCGGCGACTCCCTTTTCTTTCCTCTCTCTCTTCCTCTTCAAACCCCAAACCCTTCGCATCGAAACGACGCCACTTCGTCGTCCCTCCCCATTCCTCTTCACTTCTCCTTCTTCACGTTCTCTTCTCTCCTCCTCCTCTTCCTCCTCATTCCCTGAATCAACTCCTCACTCTCTCTCTAACTCCCAAGTACTCGTACAAGAATTTGATGCTGTCGATGAATCTGACGATGAACTTGAAGATTCCGTATCAGAAGAAGCAGAGATTGGCGGTGACACAACTAGAAAGGTTTTGGATTCCCCACTTTCAATTAGAGAGAGAGAATTGAAATCGAAGTTGCCGAGTCTTAGTGTGAAGGAAAAGAAAGAGTTGGCTTCATATGCACACAGTTTAGGGAAAAAGCTCAAGTCTCAACAGGTGGGCAAGTCGGGGGTCACTGATTCGGTTGCCACTGCGTTGATTGAAACCCTAGAAAAAAATGAACTCATCAAGGTATGAAATATATACACGCACGAAAAACCAATTGTAAAGTTTTTTACTATTTTATTTGATGTCCAGAGCAGGGTTTAGGGTTTTGTTGTGATTCATTTCTGGTAGTACAAGTTGACATTATGCAATTGTGCTTATTAATTTAGTGCTTTTGAGTGTTTGGTGTGCAAATCTTCCCTAGCTATTGAAGCTTCGAATTGGAGTTGGGTTCTACAGTTTGGTTGTATGAATGAATTTGGAATTGGGTGTAACCTTTTTAGGTAGCAAATCTGGGAAAAACAATTCCACAATGTCGGAAAATTCTTTTCTTTGGCGGTATGGAATTGGAATTGGAGAAAATTTTGGTTCAAATTTTTGAGTTGATTTTCTCCAATTCCTCCTATTCCAATTCCAAAGCTCAATTCCATGCTTACCAAACTTTGCCTTTGGGCTTTTGGATTATTAGGAATTTACCTCATATATAATTCCGGTGCAACCAAACACGGCATTCTTCTTAATTAAGCAATTTGAGTGAGTGGAGCGAGGGTGTTTATTAATTCCTAGAGTATGCCAGCAGTGGTGCTGTTAAAAACTGAGAATTAGTTCTTTGCTGTGCAAGGGAATGGAGACACAAATAGTTTGTTTGGATTGAGGGAGTTGAAATCATAGGAAATCAAAGGAAAATACCAACGAAAATACCAACGGCAAATGGCCTAGCGGTATCAGGTCCTTACCTCCCAAAGGGAGGTCAGGGGTTCAAGTCTTAGTGGAGGCATGCGTGTGCGTACCAACTAAGACAAAAAAAAAAAATCCAAAGGAAAATGAGGGATATTATCTCATGCTTGTTTCTAGAATAAGGAAGGAAATGACTGAGAAATGAGGGTTTTTAAGCGTTGAAGATAATATTCGTAGTATCTTAAAACAAGTCAAAAACACATGGTGGGAACAGAGAAGGGATTTAGGGATAATCCGTTTTGTCCCAATTGCGGAGGAAAAGAATAGGAGAAGTTGCCTAAGATGGATGGGTAATAAGAATAACCCATATGTATAGTGATTCAAATTGAAGGTGATCATCAATAATTGGAAGGCCAAGAAACTCAATAAACATGGTGAGAAGAAACACCACGGTTTATGATTGAACTGTTGAGGAGAAGAGAGGATACATGGATTCAACCCCTAGTGTCTGGCAACTTAAAGCCTTTCTGAGTGGAGTTGGATATCCCCCTTTTAGTTACATCTCTGATACTCTTTAATTGCATTTTCTGCTCTAGACTCGAGCAATAGCAGCATTGTCTGTGTTGTTTCTTATGGAAAGGATTAATTAGAAAAAGGTCAACAAAGGATCATGTTGCTTTGGCACATCTTGGAGAATTTCACAAGTGGTGAACTCTATTTGTTATGAAAGATTATCTGGGCAGAAGGTATATCATTATTTTTCTCTTGGTCAGGTTAAGTTTATTTTATGACATTATATTATATGGAAGACTTGGAAGAGGAGCTATTTATACCAAGATGATTGGGAATTTTGAGGGAGTTCGTCTTATATTGGTTTCATTAGCTGACTTTTCTTGCATTTTGTAATTTAACTGATTTTGATCAGTAGTTAGGACCCTTAGTGTTGGTGCCTTGGTGGTCTATGAGTATATTTATTTATGCACATATTCGGCTCTCTACCAGCTGATTGAGCTGTTTAGTTGTCATTTTTACCCATGTTTTGGAAGATAATTTCCTTTACTGATGCATGTTTAATGAAATGGTGAGCAAACTGAATATTCTCTCGCATGTGAGCAGATTAGATTTTCCTTTTAATATGTACTTGTCTAACGGTTAAAACTTGTAAACAGATTAAAATACATGGAAGCTGTCCAGCGGAGCTAAAAGATGCAGTGAAGCAACTAGAAGAAGCAACAGGGTCAGTGGTGGTTGGTCAGATTGGTCGGACTGTGATTCTCTATAGGCCCAGCTTGTCAAAGTTGAAGGCAGAGGAGAAAAAGAAACAGAATCAAGAAGCTTTAATCAGAAGACGGATGGCATATAGATCCTCATTTCAGGTTGTCTAATTTTCCTTCTAAACAAAAATCAGTGTCTAGAATTACAATTGAAATTTCTTTTGCTTCACAGAATATGCTTGCTGCTTATTACTGAATCACTTCTTTCATGGGATTTGTAGAATAAAGGACAAGTGCCCAGACTATCTGGGCGTACTCGTCGAGGAAGTAGCAAGTTTTGAATCCCCTCATTGTCTTGGGCTGTTCTCCACTGGTTCTGTTTTGAGTAGCTGCAGCACTTCCATGTTGTCTTCCATGTTGTCCAGTGCCTTAGCTCAAAAAAGGCTGTTTCTGGAGCAATATGAATGTGGATGACCATTTTTCATACGTGCTGCTAACTCAATTCCAAGGTTTGAATAAAGTTCAAAGTGAGGGAAGTTGATCTGAAATAACTGGAAATGTCATGGTATATGTGCTCGTGTTTGGAAAACTCTGTCAAAAATGACTCTCGGCCAACTTCGAGTTGTTGCATCTTGAACGATTTTGTAATGTCTGTAGATTCTGTTGTAGCATGATCTAATTGTCAAACCTGAAGTCATTTACAAAAGCGATGAGCTTGATTCCTAGCTTTACCATCCTTTTTATCCCGTTAGTAGCATGTAAATGAGTTTTTCTTTCACAAATGATATTTCCTTTTTTTTCTTCTAATTTCTTTGACTGGGTTTGTGTAGATGGGGTTCGTAGGATGGGAGAGAGAACGTTAGGTGCATACTAAGCATGCATGAGATTCATAGAACCTTGCAAACTAGGTGCACTTATGCATTACAAATGTTTATCATTGATTCCCTGAAGAAGTGGTCGGAACTGGGAAGGGATATATATTGGCATTATGGACTCCGTTTATCATTGATAGAACTGTATAATAATGATAACAAATGTTTTACCGTCATCCTAAACTTCCGAGGAATCATTTCCTTGAACCACCTTAATACATGAACAACTTTCCTGTTGAATACAGAAGCCAACAAAAAATTTATAAAACCACGATAAATTATTATAATTTGCTGTTTAACTTTACCCTTATCAAAGGTTTCATGATAATGGCGGCTTGATCTCTGGCAACTTGAATAAAAGTGTTGCATGCACAAATTTTGTGATTCTTGAACGCAGTATAATCTGGCAGCATGAAATTTTGCATCCTTACCAGGACCTTGAGATTGTATCATCGGTTTTCATAGGATCCAAGATTATGCAGCTCTCAGCTTCTCAGGTTGATACCGGGTCAAATCCTCGGAGTAAAGTACGCCATCAGGTGAAATAAGGCGCCGGAAAGCAATAAGAAATCGAGTCTGAAGCAAAAAAAGAAAAACAAAAAAGTTTGTACATTCAGATAAAGTTCAAATAGAATAGATTGGCATGAGGAGTAGGGGCCTCTTTTTTTTACCCATTGAAATCCTACGAGGGCAAACCAGCAACCTGGCAAACCAAATCCTCTACTGCTCATGAACTGGTAACAAGAAAAGGTAAAAGAGTATTGTTAGTGGATGGAGGTAATAACCTAAGTTTGCATTTTGATGCATGAAACCAAGGATTTTAGCATATTCAGATTTTCATTCTCTCCTGTTTGAATATGTTGGCATCAAATAAATGACCCAAGAGATAAATGTAAATTGATTCTATAAAACAAATGTAAATATAGGTTGATTCTATAATATATATATCATACCATGAGGAAGAGCGTGCCCAAAGAAAAGCATCCACTCATTGATAAGCTAATAAATTTAAGATCTCTTCCAGCCTGCACAAGCAAACAAATATCTTGAAGCTAAAAGAGAAGTTTTGGCATATTTATGCAAATTGCTCTATTCTAGCCAGGGGATCAATTGTACAGCATGTTGGAAGAAGTTTCTCATGAATAGGAGCTCATCAGAGCTCAAAGTAGATTATACCCACATGATACAATACATAAAAATAACACGATTCAGGCAACAGAAATTTCTGATGCAGATGGAATTACATCAGGCACAGATAAACATAGATATCTCTCTCAAAGCACAAAACTAGAATTATAATGAGAACCAAGTGTGAATTGACAAATTGAATACTTGAAATATGCCACAGGCCTGATTTTGGAAATTTAGGTCGACATACATGCATAAGAACATGCAAGGAAGAGACCAAAGAAAATATTAATGTTAAAACAGACATACCAACAATGTCCCCTCTAGGCTATGAACACAAGGTGTCACAGACAACGCCATGAAGTATGGAATCAACACCCTTTGCACCTACATGGACAAAAGATGGAAAAAATTTCAAGGAGAAACAGATAATATTCACACTTGTCTTTCACAGAAGTATGAAAAGAACATTATTCATCGAGAGTTTTACATTTTATTAAAATTATTTTATCCAATTTGGGAAAAATTTCATATCCAGATAATTAGCAAAAGTAATTATAGCAACCATCAAATAACAACACGTCAACGCATACAATCAGGCATCCAAAGCAAATAGTTAGTAATTAATCACTCGTCTTCTAGCTTGCAGCTTTGCTTATATGGGGCTTATTTAATGATATTTTATAATTTCTGAAATGTGAAGCAGAACAAGGTAATCTCCACTTATTGGTAATGAAATGCTCCTGAGTATATTAGAATTAAAATATTTCTAATACCATTAAACAGTGACCACTCAAAAATAAATAAATAAATAATTGTGTTGGAGTTGTCATAATCCCATTTAAGCATCACATACAATTTAAAGTTGTGAGAATTGGATATAGTATCACATCAGAGCCATAAAATTTCTCTTTGTTTCCTTGTTACTTTACCAAAAAGAAAACAACTATATAAAACAAACATAACAAAAAGGAGAGAGGTATTAAAAGAAAAACAAAACCTACCTCCTGTATGACCTCAGGATCAGGTGAAAAAAAATTGGGGAACAACCAGGGAACAGATGTTCCGATAGATGCTAATATCAACCCACTCAGTACTCCAATTATCAGCAGTGACTTTAACAGCATTCGAGCCTGTTTAATATCGTAGACCTTTCAGACCATTATTCACATACAGACATCATGTAGCAAAACATATATCTCACATAAATATATATCGTGTAGCGGCAAGCAACAGAATAAACATGTAAGATTCTGCAATTGTGGTATCGATATAAAATGGATAGGACTAACCTTTGCCAAGCTTCGGTTAGCTCCATAGATCAACTCAGGCATAAATGATTGAGCTGTTTGAGAGATAGGCTCACCCCATACCGCAAACATGCTGTACATTTGAATCATGATCTAGAATGAAAGGTAATTTGTGAGGGTAAATGTCCAGTTCCTTAAAGATAGGAAGTTGAAGCAAAAAAGAGAAAAACCAAAGTAGGGAATTCAAATGTGAGTAAAACTAACCTGATGAGCGGCAACAGTGTGTGTGCCCATAGACGTAGCAAAATATACAATGAGAGAATAAAAGGCCACCTAAACCTCAAAATTGCATCAGATTCTTAGTATAATCACATGTGAGCAGTTACAGTAAGAGAATCGAGACAGACATCACAAACCTTCGACATCATTGTTACAAACACTGGAGCAGAAAGCATGAATATTTGCAGAAGTTCACTGGCTGATGGGACAGAGATGGTAAAAGCATTATACCCTTTCTTGTTCAGAGCTTCAACCATCATATAACCAGCAATAACCTGAAACACATGCCCGTAAGTGGCAACACCAAGAGAAAGGAAGTTCCTATGAATTTGGATATAATGAAAAATGCATCAACAGGAAAATATGACAATGCTTTATTTTAGAACACTGAAGCTTTTCAGCAATGAAACAATCTGGCAAACAATTCTGGCAGGCAGGAATAGCAAGCGAACGTACACACAACTGGAGGAGGTCTATTGTTTGGTCAAAATGTAGTTGTGAAAGCCTTTCAGCAACATCTTCTGTATGAAGAGCACAACTGTCACTTGTGTAGCGGGATCAGCAGTCTATAACTATGGAAACAACTGGTTTCAAATGGAAGACTGGCTCTCTCTACAGGTGGAGGAGGGAGGGACATTGTAGAAAAAGCTCAAGAAAGAAGAAATGGGGCTCTTAATAATGCCCAAAAGAACTATAGCCCTTCGGACTAAGGCGTTGCAACAGAAGGCGGCTTGCAATCCTCTTGTTATTTGCAATCAATTTATGAAATCAATTAAAAAAATAATGATTCAGCATACCTGTGACACCATTGTTGCCCATGCAGCTCCGGCAATACCATAGCCTAAGAATGAGCATAGGACGACATCACCAACACCATTCACAGCACTGGCAACTGCCAAAGCCTTCAAAGGTCCCCACGAATCCTTCATGCCAAGACTGTGCACCAGAATGGACACGTCAGGATACAAAGCTAACAAATTAAACTTATTACAGATTCAATTGAACAACATTAGGACATTCTCATAAAGAAAATTGAATTGGTGAACAACCATTGTCCATTCAATTCAAAGCTCTGCTACCATGGTGAAGAACTCGTCCCAAAATTTTAAGCTCTTAGTTATGGACCAAATAATATCTATTAAGTTAATTGGGGCCAATGTCGCTCCTATATAGATCAGTCTTCTAGCACATTCAATAAATGTCATGAGAAAGATACAGTATTTGAACCTTGCACTTTGAGCCACCCATCCAACAAGTACTGCGGGCCATGCAAAGCCTCTAATCTACAAGCAGACAATTTTATTCAGTTGAACAGTTACAGAGAACCAATCAAGCAAAGGAGAATATCATAATCATCACTATGGAAAGAAATCAAGTAGAAGGATGTCCTACAAGTACTAAAGCACGTGGATAACCGATCGGAAAAAATGCAAACGAATAACATAATTTTTCAGAATAATAAGAATGGGAAGTGAAAATTTATAAGAACCAAACCAGATGACCATAATATTGTTGGAAAGTATGTTCTCGTGCAACAGGTAAGACTAAGGCCAACGCGCAAGTTATTTATCATGGTAATCATCACCAGCCCCCTAATTAGACAGGATCAGCAGTACATATCCTGATAAGATTTTCCAGCATATCAAATGCTCTCAGAGAATGGGTTCTCAAAGTTTGCCTCGCAGGACTGTTTATCTCTAATTCAGCCTTTCCTCATTTAGAGCCTTCAACAATTAACAACTCATGTCTACTAAGTGCCATCATTTATTGTTATTAAACATGCATCTACCATCTAAATTAACTCATGATAACTTTGTTGCCAAATAAACATGGGGCACTGGATAATTAAATACTATCCTAACTTTGTGTTGGTGGTTCATCCATTTAAACGTCCTAACTCCATTGCATAAAAGGAATACATATAGTGCTTGAGAAAGAAATCGCCTAAAGTTGAAACAACCAGTCAGTTGAGATGCAAAGCCACAATAAAAATGTCCTTATTTTATTACACCACCTTTCTGATACATCAGTAAAGCCACATCTCCAACATAGTCATCAAAATCGTAGCACCAAGTCACATCAAGGCAGATTGGCTGCACCACACCCTAGTGTATGACGTCTGCCTGAAGCCCCACCAAAACTAAGCTTATCCTTTGAATATGGTTTGGCAAATTATACATATCATGCTCGAGTATCAGTTATGTAGGTGGAGATAAACACACACAGAAACAGGTCTAGGTTAGGTTCAGGTTGATCTGAGTTGCCCTGACACCTCAGTCTGAGTACACCTTAGCTTCAACTCTTTGAATGTGGGTAGCATGGGACTGAAATAGAAAATGTTCAATCAATATAGTCATAGCTTGAAACTCAAGCCAACCTTGTTTGAATCCCTAAATTTTCGAATCGCCACTCTCCCTCCCCATGATTTCTTGCAGTATATTAATAGTCAAATAAACTAGAAGACTTGTTGGACAACATAATGCAGCGAAGTAAGGACATTCTACAAGGATGCTAAAAAATAACAGAAAGGACGAGACCAGGATTAGGAAGAAGAGAAGTCAGCCTTTCTGACTTGCCCAACTACCTGACATGGAAAAAAAAGAATAGTAAAACCTAAGACAACTTTTCGTATTTGAGATATCGAGATGACAATTTTATTAGAGAGAGAAGGGAACTAGAAAGGAAAGAAGGATGAAAGACCCTTACTCAAAAAGAAAGTCTAAAATAAACGAAGAAAAAGAAACAAAGAATACAGTTGATCAGCTCCCAGCTAGCAGAATAATCCATTACTCCCCGAAGAGGGCAAAACGTTGACCCATAAAAGATTCAAGAACGGTCGTCCTCTCTTGCCTGAATGTTTGCTTCTACATTATCCAACCTAGAAATCAGTGTAATGACTGCCTAAAAGGAAGTATATAAATCTAGGATCTTTGTTAACACATTGGTATAGGAGAAAGGACCAAAGCTTTGGTTTTACACCCAGCCTATGGCACAAACAGTATCACCTTCAATTAAACAAATTGTAAAACCTCTCCTCTTTGTGGCCTTCCAAGAGAGTTGGAAACTTTTCTTTTTATGGCATAACATCCAGCTGGTTTGGAGAACAAAACATTGTTTCTCCTTTCAAGTCTTTAGATACACATTCAACTGCTAGCTGATACTGATTATCAAGAGAGCAACTATCAAGGCTAAACTTGACTCTTACCCTAAAGGTAGGCTTTCAAGTATAAGAAGCTTATTTTATAAAATAATGTAGAAGTAGCCACTGTTCAATCACTTTGTGTTATTCCAAGACAGTTTTTAAATTCTTTTGTGATGGAGACTCAGAAAGAAGTCAAGAAAGACCCTCTACCCCTATTGTTCATCTTTGTATTATTCTCAAAGCCAAAAAGGCCCAATCAAAGAAATTTCACATTTCCTCCTGTATCAAAATCTCCATAAGACCTTATATACTTTGACAGTGATCCCTCTCAACTAAGATCGTTGCAGTAGAGCTGTTATCCATGTTAAACTTAAAATTGGAGGAAACACCAAACTGTCTAAGGATGAGACTAAGAGTAAAAATTTTCATTCAACATAAGGAAATAATATCATGTCATCTACAAATTGAACGCGTAAGACCTTTATCACTACCAATCTCAGAGGCTTCGAAAAATTCAAATTCTTGGTACTAGCATTTTATTTTATTACTATTATTATTAATTTTTTTTTTTTTTGGGCGGGGGGGTGGTGGGGTTGGGGGTTAGATTTCAACAACCGAAGCAAAAAGGAAGTCAGATAGTTAATGACCAATTTACGAATTAAAGTTAATGCTACAAAAGCATAAGCATCTCCTCTCTGTAAGTGTTTGATTCCATAAAGTCCGCATACAGAAACTGATTTCGAGTGTTAAACTATATCATGTAGGGAAGGTATTACACCGGCTCTTTTAAGCTACTCGCGCATGTTTCACTTGGAGAAATTTCAAAAATAAAGCTTGGGTTGGTGCGAGCTTCATGAGTGAACTTATATGGATTTTTATATAATAAAAATCATTAGGCAAATATGAATCTCCACATTATAGGAAGCAAAAGAACTTCAATGCAAGTTAAATTTCCATAAACCACCCAGTAGGATGGTCACTCCTCTCCTTTCCGAAAAGAATGGTTGACTACTAACAAAGAAAAAAATATATATATAAAGCTCGCAAACTATAGAAATAATAAGCAATTATGTAAGATAAAAGAAAGTAAAATGGTTTACTTAATGGCAAATGTACCTGAACATATGAATTTGCTGCAGGTATTATATGCGCATTCTTTGGCCCAGCAAAAGCTGGAAAAAGTGATATCAGCAAACTTATGTCATTGGATAGCATCTGCTAATGAAGAGACAAAACTGGAACGACTCTTCAAAGATAATCAGGAAGTAAACCAATACATTATGTGAAAATAATCAAATCCTCAATGAGTCTTTATTACCGGTTAGTGCCCAAGCACCCAGGAACCTTGTAAAGAAAAGCATTAACACCCCGCAAGTCAACCCAACAAAAAGCAAAATAGATATCTGATGTTGTACTTCATCTTTACTCTGCAACAATACTGACTAGTCAAACAGTGCAAGAAGACAGCAAAAAGATAATATTATCTGGTTTTGTAAATTAATAATGCCACCACAAAAGTTCTGAGAACTGCAGCTAAAGGGTATAATTTTTAGAATATGTTTAGAAAAATCAAAATTTGTACCGAGCAATAAAGAAACATGCAATGTTGATGTGTAAAACCCGCAGTTCCTAACCACACATGCCAAACAAATCATGAAACAATGTCTACTGTAAATATCTTTAAGCGTATTATTATGTTATATAAGTAATATTAGTAGGCCTTAAAATGATGTTTAAAATCTTCTTTTAGAAATTTTCAACATCAATTTTATACACCCCCCCATTTCTGTTTTTGGTGAATCAACTTCTAAACTTATTAAAGGCTTGTATAGACTGTATAATATGTCGAGATCAACTGTTCAAGTGACAAAGAATATCTGGCAATACCCGGAGTTCGTCTCGTCAAAGAATGATGCTGGGAGAAGTCTATTGACTACAGATGTGCCCTCCAACATTATTTGTACAAAGTGGTCGCACTCATATTCGAACTCACAAAGCCAAGCTTGTTAAATCAAACTCTTCATTCCACCAAATATCCCTTTTTCAAATGGCACAGATTTGGGAGAATATCTAAACCGTTGCTTTAATTGCTAAAAAGAGCAAGACCTATGTTACTTGGATTCTTTGAAAGTAGATGAAGAACCCATGTCAAACACACAATAATCGGACATGAGTATGGGATATGAATCCAACACTTTAGGTGGACGTGCACCTAAAAAGTATATTCGGTAATTCAATTTTATTATATTAGTATTTCAGAATGATTGAAATGTCTATATTGAACATTATGTTCCATAAAGTCATTGTTTTACTCTAGAAAACAAAATAAAAATATTAAATTATATGAATGTTTAGTTGTGCCCCTATATCCTTTTTGGAGACTTGACATGTCTAACATTCAAACACGTACCTGCACCCGAGTCCAGGTAACACAACAGCATTAAACAAATAGTTTTTACTTTTTACGTGCTCAACTTATCTAATTTGAAAAATCCCCTTTCTTTTGTTCAATGGTTTCCTGTATCTTTAAGTTCGTCAACAAAAATAGCAATCGAATTATTCCTTGCGCTCAAAATTGTTTCCTCCACTAAAAAAATTAAGCAATCCCAAAATTCTATAAAATCACCTACTAAATATAGTTTTCATAAAAATCAACAAACTAACCTTACTGGCAAGCGAAGTAGCAACCATATTCGAAGTAGCGATTGAAAGGAACATAAACACGTAACTCATATTGTCACAAAGCACCGTCCCGGGCCCTTCAAAAACAACACTACATTTCAAATTCAAAACAATCCAACATTCAACACGAAAATTACAGTTTACAAACAGATAGAGAGCGAAAAATTCACCTAAAGCAGCAAGCTCGATTGAACTTCCTTGACCAATGACTACAGTGTCAATGAGACTCATCAAGGGCCCACATATCCACAATCCAGTAGCTGGCCCTGCAAATTTCACAATCTCTACCATCTGACTCCAAATGCCCTCATTCGCCACAAACTCTTCATTTTTAGGCGAAACCATCTCCGTTGTTTCTGTTCTTTCTTCTTCTTCAATTGATGAACAAGAAGCGATGTTCTCACCATTTCTAATTTCGAGTTCTTCGCTGAGAATTTCTTGACCTGGACTAACGCAAGCACTGATAAATAGTCTCCGGCGATTATTAGTCGCTGTCTTGGAGATCCGGAGACTTAATAGAATTCGAGAATTGCGATGGCGATGCGAAGAAGAGTAAAGAAGATTGGATTGATTGAAAGATGCTGGAAATGTAGTGTGTTGTTTGAAATTAGGGTTTTGAATTGAAATATTAGAGTAATGAATTGGGATTTTCAGATTCATTTTCTACCAACAATTAGAATGAGAGAAAGATTGAATTGAGCGAAGAGCCCCCGTAAAAAGCTTCGCCGCCTGAGAAATTGAAGTTCGAAGTCAGAAACTCTTAAAATGATACTCTCATACTCCCTCCAAAATGTATATAAATTATAGAAATACATAAAAGGGCTTTTTTCTTTTTTTCTTTTTTTGAGAGAGGGAGTAAAATATTATTTCTACCTCTAAACAATTTTCATAAAACTAAAGATCTAAATTACTTTAAGCCCCTGAATTATCAGTTTGTGAAAAAATATATATATATATAATAATAATGTTTTTTTTTTTTTTTTTCTTTCTTTCTAAAGTTGATAGTTTATTAAAGTTACAAAAATCTCATTTTAGTTTAGAAATAATTCAATTTAGTATGCTTGAAAATGAAACTTAAAAATGATGGAGTTAAATTTGTTTCGCTTAAAATAACAAGTTTGGTCTAAATTAGGTTATAATTTTCATTTCAAAAACCACTTAAGTTAACAAGTTTCACTTAAAATTTGACCGAAATTTCACTTATTAATATAAATTCAAGCAAGTTAAAAAAAAAAAAAAAAAAAAAAAAAAAATCCCCTTAATTTACAATCCGTACCTAAAATTCTAAAACTTTTAGAAATTCAACTCTCGTGTTTTTTATTACTTAATTTTTCATATAAATATACATTCAGTTTAATTACCTCACCCAACAATTTCAATTAAATAAAACTATTTTTTTATTTTTTTCTTTTGTTATTGGCAATAAAGACACACCACCCTACTTACTCATTTTTTTTTTTTTAATTATTATTATTATTTTTTAATCATTTTAGGAACTCAAAACCTTACCACTTAGAGGTCCATGAGATACCATTATATCACGAGACCCTTAATCGGTTAAAAAAATTACATTAATGGATAATGATCCTTTTACACACTTATATATTTTTAAAAAAAACTTAAGACTTACAAAAACATACTAAAATTCAGGCTTTCATAAATCACTTAGTTTGGTGCAATGGAAAAGGGAACGGAAGGTGATGGAGGGTGATTAAAAATTTGTGTTTGGCAAAAATTGTTGGAAGGAAATGAAAGGAGAGGGAAGGTTTTGGAGGGTTATGTTAAAGCTTGAACTGTATTTTGCTATTCTCCCAAAAATGGGAAGAAAAGGAAGGAAGTTAAGGAGAGAGTTGATATATTATTTGTGATGCCAAATTTATTCTTCAGATTACATATACATACAAGTTAGCAGTTGCAGAGAGAGTGAGAGACGGCGGGCCAGCGGCTGAAGCTTGCGAATGGTGAACCCGAACTGGAACAGTGGCGATGGAAATTGAAAGATATGGGTTTTGATTTTTTAAACAATCTGAAATGATATACCGATACGGGTTTTGAACTTTTGATTCCTGTAGACAGATAGATAAACTGAAACGTATGGGTTTTGAATTTCTGATTCTTGAAGTGCAGAGTTGAGAATGAGAATAGAGATGGAGGCGAGATTGGGGAGGCTGAAATGATTTGTCCTAATTTTTTTTTTTTTTCCTTTTCTTGTGGCCTAACTTCTATGGGCCTGCTAAAGGTACAGGAGACTATATATATATATATATATATATATATATATATATAAAAAGGTATAATAGTTAATTTATTAAAATAATTATCTTTCTTTTCTTTTCCTTTCTTTTCACAAATATGATTATTATCCTTCTCTTCTTTTCCTTCATTAATCAACCAAACACAATAGGAGATTAAAATTATTTTTTCCTTCCCTTTCCCTTATAACTAATGTTATCATTTCCCTTCAAACCCACCGTAACAAACATAGCCTTAAGCTTATGCAACACAATCCCAAAAATCTTTCAAAATTTTATAAGGCCCTTCAGGGTGAACTAATATTTCTCCTGAAAATTACTTACGTTGGGGAATTTGTTGAACTTGAAGCACTTCATCTTGGGTGAGTTTCCAATAAAAAAATTCGAAGGTTCTCTTTCATCCTCTCATGATTGAAGCTATTCACAATAACACTAGCACCTTGCTCATGTCTCAGTGCAACCTGCATAAAATATATGCGTGTGTGGACCATACGGTTAAGATTCTGAATAAATGCAATTAATAATTCATATATACAATGCTTATTTTATTCAAATTCCCAATTTTATTGTGATTTATGGTTCAGTTATTTTTTTTAACAAAGCATTGTGTGCCTTGCACTATTCTGAGCAATATTTTCCAATTCTTTCTTTTACTAGTTTAATTTTTATTGTTACATTTGTGTGTTTCATTAATTGTTACTCATTACTTTAAATTATCAATTGAGAAAGTTCATGTTGTTCTTTCATTGCATTAAAGGAATTACATTTGATAACAGCCCTTTTACATTTTTTACTTAAAATAAAATAAATACAAACTTAGGACTTATAAAAAAAGTACTCAATATTCAAGCGTCATCATCCCAAAAATCTTCTGATGATTTGTAAGGCCCTTCAGGATGAATATACATTTCTCTCTCATCCTCTCGTGATCGAAGCTCTTCACCAAAACAATAGCACCTTGGTCATATATCCATCTCAGTGCAACCTGCAAATATAGAGTTGGCTAAGGTTCTGAATATATGCAATCATTATTCCTAACGGAATTTGAAGATTCTAACTTTCACAATTAGTTTTAATTTTTATTGTTGCATTTGTGTTTTTCATAAAATTGTCACGATAAAGATATGGTTGGAATACTTTGAGAACATGAGAAATAAATTTGACAAATATGTAACTTTTAACTTCCAACTTCAAAAATAAAAAATAAATTTAACAAATAAAAAATAATAATAAAAAAAACTTAGTAAGTATAGAAAAATACTCACACTTGAAGTTTTCGAAAACTACTAAAACTTCATGCGTCATCATCCCAAAAATCTTCCAATGTTTTGTAAGGCCCTTCCGAATGAACAAATACTTCTCCCGTAAATCCCCTACGTTGGGGAATTTGTTGAATCTGAAACAGTTCATCTTGGGTGAGTTTCCAATCAAAAATTTGAAGGTTCTCTTTCATCCTCTCGTGATTGAAGCTCTTCACAATAACACTAACACCTTGCTCATATATCCATCTTAGTGCAACCTGCAAATATAAATATGGCTAAGGTTATGAATACATGCAATTATTATGTTTATTTTATTTAAAATTTAAAATTTATTGTGATTTATGTCTTTTAATTTTTTTTATTTTCATTTTAGAAAGCTGGATTTGGTTTATAAAAAAAATAATTATAAAATAAACTAGTACCTGAGCCACATTCTTCCCATTTGCAGCTGCAATGTTTTTAAGGATTGGACTCTCCATCACTGCTAGGGATCCCCAAATTGCTCCGTTTGCAGCCAACGGCGACCACGCGCTCACATGAATTCCTCTGCTGCTGCAAAATTCCCTCAACTTTTGCTGCTGCCATGCTACATTCATTTCCACCTAAGAAAATATATATGTTCATTGTCATCCCCATCATTACTACATACGTGTATAGAGATTAGTGCTCATGCGATATTACAAGTTTGAAAGCTGGCCATATTAATTTAACATATATTATCAAAAAATAAAATACATATTTTTTTCATCCGAGACCGTAGACACTAACCCTCACTGAGTTATCGAGACATCTACAATATTATATCTCTAACTTGTGCAATTTTGCATGCATTTAATTTACCATTTTATCCCTCAAGAAATGAAAAATAAAAAGAGCAAAACGAAAACAAAAATCACGTTCAATAAAATATTTTTGTTTTTCTATAACAGAAAACGTTTTCAATTTTTGTGAAGAAAAAAGAAAACATCAGAATGATGTTTCTTATGTTTTTGGCACTGTAGCGCAAAAACGTTTTCACTAATGTTACTGCACATGCACTATTCATTTCAAATAAAATTCATATTATTTGTGTTATATACTAAGTTGCATATTAAATGTTAATAAAAATATATTTTTTTCACATAGAATATATTAAATATTGTATATTATTTTTTTATTTGAATAAAAATATATTTTAATATATAATATATTAAATAATAATGTAAATTATTTTTTGTGACAAAATAATTTTTGATATAGAATATAATGTTATTAAATTATTAAACAGTAAATATTTTATATTATTATATATCATATCTATATTATATTATATGTAAATATTAAATTATAATTAATTTATAATATTATAACACAATATATATTTTATTACATATAAGATATATTATTTAATATTTTTTATTCATAATAAATTATCATATGCTAAATATATTATATATCACACAATAAATATATACATCATGCATATACATGTATTTATATACATAATTGGTGGGAATGTTTTTGTCTTAGCATATCTAATTTTGTATTTATGATGTATTGGGTATTTTTAAGATTTATAATTTTAAATTAGATTTTCTAGATTTATGACTTTTTGATATTAATGGAAGCAAGTGTCGTGCCTGAGTGGTTGAGTTACTCCCTGTGTTCGAGAGTTCGTGTTCAAGTCATCTACTCTCCTCCTCACCCTCCCCTCTAATTACTAACTCATAAAATTCTTGGCATGAAAAAAATAAAAAATTTAAAGAATATTATGTACATTTTGTAACAAATATGTTGTATTACTAAACATAGTTATTGTTTTATGTTTTCAAATTTGTGTCAACAACAGGTGTTAATAAACATCATTTCTGTTTTCTATTTTCACTCAAGAAAGTAAAATCATGTTTCTATTTGCTTAAGACTGTAAAAATAAAAAAATTAAAACGTTACTAAACGCGTTCTAAGTTTTCAAAATAAAACGTACATTTTGTTTTTAAACAGAAAGAATATCAATATTTTACGTGTAAATTTATGTATGTATAAAGTCTAGCCTATGAATAAAGCTGAGGAATATATACTTGATTTACAGCGGGTGGGATGGTAGCATGCTGCAGCAGTTGGGTGAGCTTTTTGGAACCAAAGTTGCTGACACCAATGGATTTGGCCAGTCCCAGTCTGTGACACTCTTCCATGGCCTCCCATGTCCCTTTAATATCAAAGGGCAGCAAGTCTTCCTTTGTAAATTCAAACCCTTCAATACCTTCCTTCATCCTTACTGGCAAGTGAATCAAATACAGATCCACATAGTCCAATCCAAGCCTCCTGCAAAATTATTGTTATTGTATATATATATAAAAAGCCAATAGAGCACGACTAATATATTATCAACATGATTCCCCGTATTCACATGTGATCATTTATGCGTATGTGTATGAACAATGTTATTCTAATCCATAAGTTAAATCTAAAACTGTAGACAAAGGACGTCTAATTAATTACCGTAATGTTAGATGGATGGCAGGCAGGACAAGGTCGTGGTGGGAATCACTGCACCTTAACTTGGAAGTAATGAAAATTTGGTCACGGCTCTTAATGAGTCCCCGATCTAGTGCTTCTGCCACAGCTCGGCCGACGGGTTCTTCGGTTCCATAGGCCGAGGCCGTGTCAAAATGGCGATAACCGGCCTGGATGGCGTCGATCAAGATGGTGGTGAGATGGTGAGGTGGTGAGAGGGGGTAGCCTGCTGTTCCCATGCCTATCACAGGCATCTTATAATTGCCAGAGCTCAGTATCACTTCTGGGATTTGCACTCTCTCCATCACTTCAAATATTTTCTTGCTAACCAATCACTCAATTTGGTTAATCTTGTGAGTGGTTGAGGAGAGTGAAGGTTGGTACATTTTCATTTGCAGTCTGAGGCTGGAGTTGTATTGATCCTTTGTATTAAAAAATTGGAGATGCTCTCTAATAGACATTTTTACCGTGTGCATCACCCGACATTGAAGGTATAATAAGCATGACCCCAACTAACCCAAACCCAAACCCAAACCCATTAAACCTATTTGAACGAATGTTGTAACAAGACTCGCAACGTCCTTGCAACGTCCTCGTTGCGGTTCGGGTCACTCTGCCTACTCGGATGCGTGGCGTGACACAGGATGAAAGATTGAATCCGACTCAGATACTAGCTATAATAGGTGAGTGCTTACCCATTTATCTAAAAGTTCAACTGTGAATAGTGTTGCACCTATTTGTACATAATCACTTTCTCATCCGGATCCGATGTGGGGCAAATGACCCTTGTTACACCTATCCACTACCGAAATGGCCAATGAACCTCCTCTTGCAACATTAATTTAAGAAAACCTTATTTTTTTGAAGTTGCAACGTCACACTTATGTAGAGAGAGAAAGAGGGTGAGGTGGAAGAAGGGGTTGCCCGAAACCCATTGGTAGGCAGTTAACGGGTGAGAACTAAGAACAAATCCACCTTGAGGGCAATTTGTAGAGAGAGAGAGAAAAAGGAGGTGGATGGAAATTTCCATGGCCGATGCTTTATGAATATTAAATTTGGGTTGCAAACTTGATTGTGTTTTAAAACTTGGGTTTCTTGGATATATGATTTGAGAAAGGATTAGAGCATCTCCAATATAGTCTCTAAAATTTGGGTCTCCATATTTACCATATCAGCATTTTTTATAGGCCATATCAGCATTTTTAAGAGCCACATCAATGTTTTGGACTCTTTAATTTTTAGTTATAGCAGGTGCTCCAATGGTGCATTTTCGCTCTCCAAAAATATTAATATTTTTAATAATTTTTTAAAAACTTTTTCTTTACCGCTATATCCATTATCATTTGATGTATTTATTTATAAAGGTGAAAACAGAGGCAATTTCATTTTGTTAGGGGAAAAAAAAAGTAAAAAAAATAAAATTTTGGGCCAATATAGCCATTAAGGCACTGTTTGGCCAAACAGTGCCTAAAACGGCTATAATATTAAAAGGAATCTTGAATTTTATTTTTTTTTTTAAAAAATACAATTTTCTCAAAAAAAAAATTTTTAAAAACTTTTGTTATCAAAAAAGATTTTAAGGCACTGTTTTGTAATTTGTTTTGAGGAAAAAAAAAAAAAAAAAAGACTTCCAAAACTTGTTTCTATAATTTATTTCAGCCAAACACGCCCTTAACCCAATTCTGGGCTAAGGGTTACAGTGATTTGGGCTTTTTTTAAAAAATAAAAAATAAAAAAAACGAAGCGGGCCCGCGTAACGCAGGACTGCCCAAATTGCTAAAAAGCTCAAAATCATTAAAAAAAAAAAAAAAAAAAAAAAAAAAAAAAGGGCCATTGGAGTTGCTCTCAGAATGAATTGGGTGTTGTGGGTATATATATACGCACACTAAAGCGTATGGCAGACGAACACAATATTACACAACAAGGAATGATTCTTTTTACTATAAAACCATGAAAATAGTTATTGCATGCACCAGTGAGTCATATTCTCTTAATAATATTTAATGATTTTAAAGAATGTTTAGGGCCTGTTTGGTATCTATAATGGTCTGAGTGTTTTTGTTCCAGGTCCGCTACAGTACCACTATTAAAGCCCAAAACATGTTTGGGGAGGCGTGTGTTGCTTACAACAGTGTCAGAACAACTTTCAAAATTTTGGCCAAAAGTTGAAACAAGAAAATAGTGTTTTCCAATGTTTCAGGTACTGTTTAGGCTATAACATAACTGTAGCGGAGGAAACATAAATCCACTTATTACAACTTCTCACTTCACCTATAAAAGGAAAACTTGCAACATTTTAGGGTTAAAGGCAGCAGTGGAGCGTCTGGTGATTTCAGGGCGATTCGATTTCAAAGGGCAATATACAGTCCTTCTATGACCATAAACGACATCGATCTAAGCTGATTTCCTCTTCTCTTCAAAGAACAACCGAGGTTTGAGCAACTTTCCGTTTTTTCGAAAATTTTGTTCCTTATCTCTGTTTTTGACTGATTACTTTCACTTTTGTGGTTCGAAATCCACACAAAGGCTTCTTTTATTCGATTTAATAGTAATTTTAAACTTAAACAAATTTTTCCTTGAAACCCTAATTTCTAGTTTGATTATATTGGAAGAACTATCATAAAAGTTCTCTGATGAACGGTTATATTGTTTGATTTGAGTTTCATTTTGAAAGTTAAACGAGTTTGAAAAACAAACCCTAATTTATTTGATTTTTTTTTTTTTTTTTTAAATAACGACCTGAAAAGTGTTATGATATGTTCGATTTGAGGTTATTTTGGAAAGTGAATCGAATTATTGTGAAAACCCAAATTAAAAAAAAAAAAGTGATACGAAAACTTAAATTTGATTATAACCTAATACAGAATACATACACAAACATCAAAACTGCTTTGTCAATAAGATTTAGCCGGTCTGAATATTTAATTCATTGCAAAATATATTTTCTTGTTGCCCGGTTCAAGTAGAATTTTCTTTGTGATGCTAAGTTATGGGATCAAAACTTTATGGTGAGGATGTAACTTGGTTATCCTGTAATCTACTACTTGTTAATGATGTAGATGTAGCACTTTTCTGAATTTTTTTGAAATATTCATTTAAGAAATTATTACTATTTCTGCTAGCAAACATATAAAGATAGATATATGTGTGTGTGGCGAATTGTTGTTACATCTGCTAGAGAACATATAAAAAAAGTCAAAGAGTATATAAGTATCATAGTTCTGTAATATCTTTTTGGTTAGACATATCTTTATAAATTAAAACTAATAAGTACTTGTATGTTAAATGTCTTATGTTTTTCTCATTCTCTTCCAGATTGCTTAAGACTGCGCACATTTTTTTATGCCCAAGGGAGAGCTTAACTATTAGTTTTTCAATGAAAAGTTGAAAACATTAGTTTACCTATACACATATGTGAAGCTTAAGATATCTGAAATTTTGAATCGTTATATAATTTCTAGATTCTGGATCATGAGTGAAGGTTATACAAAAATCTAACTTTATATTAAAACAATGTAATTAGATGGATATCAATGGTGACAATGTGTTATGAGCAGAAATAGAGGACCTTACAGATATTATCGATGATGCAAAACTAGTATGGGATCTCGTATCGATATTTTCATCATCCGTATGGAGGAAGAAATGAGGCTTGGTAATTGTACTTCCAGAACTTTTAACACAATTGGTTGGAATAATTTAGTAGAAGGCATAAGGGTTCATACAGGGAAGAAATATACAAATAAACAACTTAGGAGCAAATTCAACCACTTGAGGACAAACTACAAAGACTTTAAGAGTTTGTTAGCAGAAATAGGCATGGGATATAATGTTAAAACGGGTATAGTTATAGTTGAAAAGAAAAGATGGGCTAGGTTGATAAAAGTTAGTTATTCAAATTAATGTATGTTGATTTTACAAATATAGACTTAACTTAATATTAATAGTACTTTAATAATTTGTAGGTGAATAAAGGTGCAAATAAGTTTCGAAAGAAGGAATGCGAGCATTTTGACACGTTAACCACCATATTTGGAGGCACACACGCTACAGGTGCATATGTCCATCATTCAACTAGATCACCCATTATCAACCAAGCCCCCTCACACCATGCAGCTATACATAACTTATTTGAAATTGATGATTTAGCTGAGTTAGACGGTCATGAGATCAGTCCCTTTTCCTGAACCTCGTGGTAAGAAACCAAAGAAAGAGAGTTTTGCCTCCACAATGAATGTTGTCATGGCAACTATGACTGACAATGCTAACATGAAAGCTGAGCGAATCATAAAAACAGCTTAATCATCTAATATGAAACCATCTTATGACAAATGTGAGGTTGAAGTAATGTCTCTATCAAAACAAGACAAGACAAAAGGTGATTTTAAGTTATGTTGTAGTATTTTGAATTAGCTGGAGGGCATTGATATGAAACAATATGCTAAGGTCACCCAGATGTTACGTACTAATGAAATTTGGACAGATTTATTTCTGAATGGCCTTCATGATGATAAGAGGGTTGGTTGGATCATGAATCTTTTATTTCATGTTGCTTTTATGTGTTACTTTAATGTGTTATTTGTTTTTCTTACGGCTTTGGATGACTGTACTATTAACTATACTTTATTTGGTGTGTTGTTTTTATTTCTTATTTGGTTTTGTTATGACTTTGGATGATGGTAATATTAAGTACACTAGTATTTAGCTTGGGATGATTGTAATGACAATATCAATATTATTAATTATATTTTATTTGGTGTGTTGCTTTTATTTATTATTTAGTATTTGGCTTGGAATGATTGTAATTTATGTCGTTTCTTACATTTTGTATTATACAGATGGATATTAGGACAATCATAGAGTTGTATGATAATGATGACGACGAGAATGAATCTGTCATCATAATGGCATGTATGTTGGATTACTATATGAAACATTATCATAAACAGCCTTGTAGGGATTCAATTTTAAAAGGGGGAACATACATATTGGAGATATTGAATGGGCATGCAAGTAAATGTTTTGAAAACTTTAGGATGTCCACCCTTATTTTTTTAAGTTGTGTGGTGAGCCTAGGTCATTAGGGTTGAAAGACTCTAAAGGTTTTTGAACAAGTTGGCATATTCTTGCTTACTTTAGCTCACAATGAAAGGAATTGTGTGATAGCAGAAATATTTCAACACTCTACCCAAATAATTTCCAAACACTTCCATTCGGGAAAAAGATTATTGTTCCTCTAGATTAACCCGAATTCCTAACCATATAAGAAAGTTAAGAAAATTCTACCTTTTTTTTAAGAATTGCG